TATGTTCTTATGAAATATCGCGTATTAGTGTAATATGCATGCTTAACCATTCATTGTACCGTTCTAAACCATGTAATATCAGTCAATCGGGGGGGGAAAACAGCCCAATCCTCGCTCTATAAAGGACTATGTCAATCATTTTGCAAGTTGAAATGACCCCTGATACTTTATGAATACTTTATGACAGTTTATGGAGTCAAAATCAATGCTGATTTTTCATAAACTTAATGCTTCGTACTATAGCATGGTGTCTCTTCAGTGCTGAATAAAGATTGAAAATACATCAGTCAGTCAAAGATGAAGGAGTTCTTGAGAATTAGTTCATATTTTGTTCTTAGACTTACATTCGATTGTGTTCACATGTAGACTCAAACTGGTATTTAAAAACATGTATACAGACAACAAAAACTGTATTAGAAACAACAAACTCTGTATTTATGGATAGCACTTTCATAAGCATGATAGCATATTTTGGAAAACAAATTCAAGGTCAATTGCTTCAATACATCATGTTCATTGGACATAATTTCTAGTTTAAATATGTTTATCTAATTTCCGATTATCATTCTTAGTTTTACTTTTTTCTCTTCGGCTGCGGTGATATCCATCCGAATCCAGGACCTTTGCATAGTCCAGATTTAAAGATTATATATCTAAACGTACGCAGTCTTAAAGACAAAGTAGATTTTATCAGTGCTGAATTAGATAGTTATGATGTTGTATGTTTAACAGAAACCTGCTTGCACCATGATATTTTAGCCACTGATATTACACTGATACCATTTTCAAATCGTAGCCTGTATTAAGGAATATATTTTAGATCTGAAATCAGAGTATAACGGACAGCCTGAGCTGGAGGCGCGCGTGGGTATGTTGACAGTTTTTACGTAGTTAGTGGTAAAACCGGATGTTTGCGAGGATTAATAAGATTTCTGAATTCTGTTACAACAGTAACCGTACATGTATTTGTTACATTAAGTCATTTCATTCAAATTTGTTTGGTGTGATTATGTCTTATAATTATTTTAGGATGGAAGGTACAGTTACCAAATAAAATATGCTGAAATATCAATTCATTATGACCATATTTCATAATCTATTTTTTAAAGTAACCCTCCTTACATTAAAGATAACTATTTAAAGAATATAGTACTGAAAGACATTGCAACAAACCGAATAATCAGGGGGGAGACTTTATACTGAGGGGGGCGCGAAACATATCCGCCCGGGGGAGATTTTATTTCAGAACAGATTCTCCGGGGGAGAATCTGTACCGGTATAAACTCTCCGGGGGGTGAATTTGTACGGGGGAGAGTTTATACCGGGACACCGGCGTTAAACAACAAACAACGCATACAGATAAGGCCAGTCTGATTGTGCTCGATTATCACGTATAACCTGGCGCTGATTACCTGACGAGAACTTACAATAGACCCGTGAAGATCCGGGGTAGGATAGGTCTTCAGCAACCCATGCTTGCCGTAAAAGGCGACTATGCTTGTAAAAGGCGACTAACGGGATCGGGTGGTCAGGCTCGCTGACTTGGTTGATGCATGTCATCGATCCCAAATTGCGTGAATTGATGCTCATGATGTCAATCACTGTATTGTCTGGTCCAGACTCGATTATTTACAGACCGCCGTCATATAGCTGGAATATTGCTGAGTGCGGCGTTAAACAACAAACAACAACAACAACGACAACTTACAATATGTACATCCCTCACGCAAATACCCCATTTTGTTTGTTTGTTGTTGAACGCCATATGACGGCGGTCTGTAAATAATCTAGTCTGGCTCAGTCAACCCAGTGATTGACATCATGAGCATCGATCCACGCAATCGGGATACAATGACATGCACCAACCAAGTCAGCGAGCCTGACCACCCGATCCCGTTCGTCGCCTCTCGCGACAAGTGAAGTCACCTTTTACCGCAAGCATGGGTTGCTAAGGATCTATTCTGACCCGGATCTTCACGGGTGAATCCCATTTTGACACACCCGCGTCCACCGCCTGGAGAGCGGAATGTCGGTGTACCGACAGCGGCATACCGAAAGACGACGAAAGATGGTACTTGTTGTTGTCCTGCTTGACTTTCAGCATAACGAAATAAAACAAGGATTGGTCTGCTCGGACTCTCTGTCCGAATGGGGATCAGTGCAGTGTCCATGTTTTAACTACAGTTTGGTATCTCAGTGGGTTAGAAAAAAAACAAAAAACAGACATGAGCCCAGACTAGTGCAAGCAGAAGACTTAGTTGAACGTCTTGATCATTCACAGTTCTCCATTTATCCAAGTTGTCTGCCTGTCTTCAGGGGAGGTGGTTATGCTGTCTGCATGTTTTAATACAGTTACCAACAGTTGACACCTTCCCATTGCATGGTTTAATCACATCTCCAATGAGTGCCGGGGGCGGTGGGGTAGCCCAGTGATTAAAGCGTTCGCTCGTCACGCCGTGGACCCGGGTTTAACATGAATACCCCACTCAGACACAGTATACAGACTCCGAGCTGACCAGTTCTTGTTTTTGGACCTTAATGCCGAGCGCCAGGCAGGGTAACAACAAGTAGCATCTTTTCACGTCTTTTGGTCAGACGCGGCCGACCTTCCGCTCTCCGGGCAGATGCTTGACCACGGAGGCGGTCAACAAATGGAATGAAACCCGTTCCGGTACATACTCTGCAAAGGAGGCGGTCAGTCTAGAATTCGAAGACACTATTGTTTCTACTCGAATGTCTGGCTGCTCACGTGATGGGACAAATCTGTTATATAACAGTATCTAAATATTTTCAATGAATATATGTACTCGCCAATCCTAGTTATCACTCTACGGCCATGTAACGGGTTCGCTATCTGTGAATGCATAAACAGCGGTGTATTTTGATTGCCTTATTTCCTGGACGCTTCAGCCATCGTCCATCACAAAAGAATCGATGAAGGCAAAGAACTGGCAGATGCTCCGACAGAAGTATAATTGGGGCTTAATTCCGAATGACGCGAGAGGATTATTGCTGTTGCTGTGATCAAAATCAGTAGTTATTTATAGTACCCAATATGTCAGTTATGTGATGGACATGCATATTTTGTAGTTGCCGGTGGTGTGCCATCGTGGACGGACGTTGTGCTGACGACGGCTGGTGTGTCTTGTCCAGACTTTACTGTTCACAGTCCGCCGTCTTTGAGGCGTGCTCCCACCCATCCATCCACTCACTCATCTACCAAACCCGAAACTCCACCACCCACCCCACTTTTTCCTCTACCCCCAGCTACACCCCACCACTACCCCCACCTCTGTGTCTGCAGTGTCAACACAACCCATATAGCACCCCCATCTCAACTGTAACTGTTCACGTGACACTAATAAAGTTTTGACACATACCACAAACATACCATCCCACTCGAAAGCTTAAAGCGTCATCCACAACATAAGACATTTTGGTAATATTTACCCAGAAAGGAATATAACTAGAACTTGGCATACAAGTGCCTGCCACAGTTGCTACAAGCACAACAGATGACCGAGTGATTATCAAACCTTTTCAGCAAGGACTTTGAACCCGACACTGACAGGTCAAACTTTTGCATTGTCACGTATGAAGGAGTTGTACATATTATAACTTACCAGAGCATGTGACATGTGACACGTGTCAATTTCTTCCATTTGAGTACAAATGTTGATAACGCAATAATTTTACTTTTTCATTTCCGCTCATCTCACTACCAAACACACTAACTACCAACACTGACAGTACCTACATAGTCCTGCACCATGACTGTGGAATATTTTTATTTTATGAAAAAAAATAAATCAAGATATGAATACAAAAGCAAGTCTAGCCACCTCGGGGAGGGGGAAGGGGGGTCCGCCAATGATCTACCTGACGACAACTTGGTATATTGTACACTGTGAAATGGCTGCGGTAACCTTATCACTGCCTGAGCTGGTCTCTGTACACAATGAAGATATTCACTTGTCGCCACACCCATATATACGTTACCGCACCTAGCTGTCAGTGCGTTCGCATCATGTATGTGGGAATCTATAGATACATATTTAGAGTGTAAACCAAACAGGATTATGGGATACAGGATTCATCTGAATCCGAACCCAACATTCAACATGGCCTCCATAATGCACCAATCTCCCTGTATACATCTTCTGTTACATTGTATTACATTATCTGGACTTATCTGCACCAAATGTTTGTTACATCGGCCCATGATGGCATGGTTTGACCAATGGACTTTAACTAAAGCCATGTACTATACACAATGGTGTATAACTCCACTATAATCAAAGGGCTGATTCACATAATGAGTGCCACGTTAAATGCACTATTCGTTTGTTTTCGCCTATTCTTAACTGAAACCAACGACATGAAAAGTATCTCGGTAGCAGTTGACGAAACATGCAGTTATTATTTATTTAATACAGGTAAACAAGGTGATGTGACATGGGTTTAACGTCATGTCTTACAACCCCCTGTGGGTACGCGGGATTCGGGGGTCTACATTGGGACTTTTAGGGTATTTGGGAATCGGTAGTGGGGTGCGCGGAACACAAAATCAAATTGTACTTGGTGCGCAGATGATTCAACTTTATAAACAAATTCATGGTATAAATAAAAGTTTCCGTTAATATATATTTTTTAAACAATTTCTTTCAGAACTTTACTTTGAAATCGCACCCTTTTTTCAATGCTTTCAAGATTTGTATTAAGCAGTATTATAGCATTAAGTATTGCATTTACATAGCGACAGCCACTATCCACTACACCCCGGAGGCTGTCTTAAAGGAGACAGACAGTGCAACACGGCCATGCATTATCACGAGTGAGTCGTGTACTGCATTATGCAAACATGCGCAGTGTGTACACAACGATAACTGCATAAACAACACAGCTGGGAGATAAGGCTTTACCAGGGTGCTTCCCCCCCCCCCCCCCCCCCCCCCCCACACACACACACACACACTAGTGAACACTGCCTAGCTCTGTTGAGTGCAGTCTTTCTTTCTGATTGAGTGAACCCGCGCTTAAAGCGTCAGCTGTCACGTGATCTAGCATATATTTAGGGGAATCCTCTTCGATCGGCTGCAAAATTTAGGTCGAAGCAAACTTCAACATGGCTCTCCCAACCCCGCCTATTCCACCGATCAAGAACCCGGAAGTGAAATGCACACAGGTAAGACACCTGCCTTCTTCTTATACTACATCTGATGCAGTGATTTGCACTTGTTCTGATTGACATCGCCCTATCGACCTGAATGGACGCTAAAGTAGCGGCGTTCTGGAATGTGCACTAATGGGTTCCCCTTGTACGCTGGCGGTGCTGCTGTGGATGTTTGTTGTTACTGCCATTGTCACAGACAAACTTAGGATACAGACATTTTACGGTTGTTCCTGTTTGGTAGTCTGTGGATACTTGCTTGAACTATATAGACTCCATGGCTTAATAGAGGGCTAATTTTGATATACAAGTACTCGCCAGTATTTGCTATGGGTTGCTATCTGGTGTCGTCCTTCACTATCGCGGTATCGACGACTGTTATCTCATAGCGGCCCGGGCGCCCAGTGGTTTAACGTGATGTATGGGGTGTTAATGTTATGTAGAGGACGTTAAAGTTATGTATAGGAGGCAAACGTTATTTACAGGAGGTTAACGTTATGTACAGGAGGTTAACGTTATGTTTTGTTTGTTTGTTGTTTAACGCCGCACTCAGCAATATTCCAACTATATGACGGCTGTCTGTAAATAATCGAGTCTGAACCAGACAATCCAGTGATTATTATCAAGATTATCGATCCGCGCAATTGGGATCGATGACATGCATTAACGTTATGTATAGGAGGTAAATGTTATGTATACGATGTTAACGTTATGTAGAGGAGGTTAACGTTTTGTATAGGAGGTTAACGTTATATATAGGAGGTTAACGTTATGTAGAGGAGGTTAACGTTTTGTATAGGAGGTTAACGTTATATATAGGAGGTTAACGTTATGTAGAGGATGTTAACGTTATGTATAGGAGGTAACCGTTATGTAGAGAAGGTAAATGTTATATATTGGAGGTAAACGTTATGTATAGGATGTAAACGTTTTGTACAGGAGGTTAACGTTATATAGAGGAGGTTAACGTTATGTACAGGAGGTTAACGTTATGTATAGGAGGTTAACGTCATGTAGAGGGGGTTAACGTTATGAAGAGGAGGTTAACGTTATATAGAGGAGGTAAACGTTATGTACAGGAGGTAAACGTTATATATAGGAGGTTAAAGTTATGTAGAGGAGGTTAACGTTACGTAAAGGATGTAAACGTTATGTAGAGGAGGTTAACGTTATATATAGAAGGTAAACGTTATGTATAGGAAAAAAACGTTATGTAGAGGAGGTTAACATTATGTATAGGATGTAAACGTTACGTATAGGGGGTAAAAGGTTAATGTAAAAATATTTTTTCGTGTTAATCCACCTCCCTAGCGTCTATAGGGGACTCTCAAGTTCATATTGAAGTTTTTCTATTAACCCTGAGTGAGTTGTATCAATAAACTTGTTTAATACACACTTGGTCATTGGGATTAACAGACATCTATGGCTAGATATTTCTTTATAATACATACCTCTTTTACAGATTTTTATCAACAATGAATTTGTCAACTCCGTCAGCGGGAAGACGTTCCCGACTCTGAATCCGTCGACGGGGGTGAAGATAGTGGACGTGCAGGAGGGCGACAAGGTGAGTGGTAACATCGCCTGATTCTGACACTGGATCAATTTGAAATGATAGCTTTTAACTTGGACTAAAATCATTAAAAGAAGCCATTAAACTGCCACAAAACAGGATCTGAACATTCCCGGAATGACTATTATATCATTCTCCGATTCCCCTTGTCTCTCTTAAATTTACCCGACACAAGAACCCTGAGGCGGGAATCAAGTACTGTAAATCGTGAAATTAATACGTCTACAAAAGAATGCGACCACTGACCCCTAGCCCCAAATGCGTCTCAATATGAATGCGACACCCCCTCCTCTCAAACATCAGAGGATTTACATCTTAAGAAAATGATGTCAGGTTTACAGGAGAATCCTCACATTAATCCAATCATATATTGGCAATAAAATACCGTTGTCAGGACAAGACCCATGTGCTATGTTTGTTAAGGGGGACATACCGTTGTCACCACAAGATCCACGTGCTATGTTTGTTAAGGGAGACATACCGTTGTCACCACAAGATCCACGTGCTATGTTTGTTAAGGGAGACATACGGTTGTCACCACAAGATCCACGTGGTATGTTTGTTAAGGGAGACGCACCGTTGTCACTACAAGACCCATGTGCTATGTTTGTTAAGGGGGACATACCGTTGTCACCACAAGATCCATGTGCTATGTTTGTTAAGGGAGACGCACCGTTGTCACCACAAGATCCACGTGCTATGTTTGTTAAGGGGGACATACCGTTGTCACCACAAGATCCACGTGCTATGTTTGTTAAGGGGGACATACCGTTGTCACCACAAGATCCGCGTGCTATGTTTGTTAAGGGGGACATACCGTTGTCACCACAAGATCCACGTGCTATGTTTGTTAAGGGAGACGCACCGTTGTCACCACAAGATCCACGTGCTATGTTTGTTAAGGGGGACATACCGTTGTCACCACAAGATCCACGTGCTATGTTTGTTAAGGGGGACATACCGTTGTCACCACAAGATCCACGTGCTATGTTTGTTAAGGGAGACATACGGTTGTCACCACAAGATCCACGTGCTATGTTTGTTAAGGGAGACATACCGTTGTCACCACAAGATCCACGTGCTATGTTTGTTAAGGGGGACATACCGTTGTCACCACAAGATCCACGTGGTATGTTTGTTAAGGGGGACATACCGTTGTCACCACAAGATCCACGTGCTATGTTTGTTAAGGGAGACGCACCGTTGTCACCACAAGATCTACGTGCTATGTTTGTTAAGGGGGACATACCGTTGTCACCACAAGATCCACGTGCTATGTTTGTTAAGGGGGACATACCGTTGTCACTACAAGATCCACGTGCTATGTTTGTTAAGGGGGACATACCGTTGTCACCACAAGATCCACGTGCTATGTTTGTTAAGGGAGACGCACCGTTGTCACCACAGGATCCACGTGCTATGTTTGTTAAGGGGGACATACCGTTGTCACCACAAGATCCACGTGGTATGTTTGTTAAGGGGGACATACCGTTGTCACTACAAGATCCACGTGCTATGTTTATTAAGGGAGACGCACCGTTGTCACAGCAAGATCCACGTGCTATGTTTGTTAAGGGTGACGCACCGTTGTCACAGCAAGATCCACGTGCTATGTTTGTTAAGGGGGACATACCGTTGTCACCACAAGATCCACGTGCTATGTTTGTTAAGGGGGACATACCGTTGTCACCACAAGATCCACGTGGTATGTTTGTTAAGGGGAAATACCGTTGTCACCACAAGATCCACGTGGTATGTTTGTTAAGGGGGACATACCGTTGTCACCACAAGATCCACGTGCTATGTTTGTTAAGGGGGACATACCGTTGTCACCACAAGATCCACGTGCTATGTTTGTTAAGGGGGACATACCATTTTCACCACAAGATCCACGTGCTATGTTTGTTAAGGGGGGCATACCGTTGTCACCACAAGATCCACGTGATATGTTTGCTAAGGGAGACGCACCGTTGCCACCACAGGATCCACGTGCCATGTTTGTTAAGGGGGACATACCCTTGTCACCACAAGGTCCACGTGCTATGTTTGTTAAGGGGGATATACCGGGGACATATCACACGTCCCTTCACATTGTTTGTTTGTAGGCTGACGTGGACAAAGCTGTTGCCGCTGCAAGGAAAGCCATGGAGTTTGGGTCAATTTGGCAGAAGATGGACGCCAGCCAGAGAGGTCGTCTTCTAAACAAGTTGGCTGACTTGCTGGAGAGGGATATCGGTTACATAGCCGTGAGTCGAACACCGACACCGACTCTACCCTTAATGCCATACAGGGCAATGAATAACCCATATATGGATGATCCATACGTTGTCAATGTATATATACAACTCAAAAGAAGTTAAAGCACACCCGATTTTCTCTTGTGACTGAAGTTAACATAATCATGGACATGACAGATTAACTATTGTCATATGATAAAATCGTGTTGTTTTTTACTGCAGTGACAGATTAACTATAGGCAGATGAATACACCGGGTGTTCTGTCAGCCATACACTAAGACTTTCACATACTTTCACACACTATACGCCCTTGTTTTGTAGAGTCTGAATTGTTTTGTAGAGTCTGAATTGTTTTGTAGAGTCTGAATTGTTTTGTAGAGTCTTGATGTTTTGGACAACGGTAAACCTTACAAGGACGCCTTCTTCGTCGACACTGGGAGCTGCGTCAACATCCTGCGCTACTACGCGGGGACGGCCGACAAGATATGTGGAAAAACCATCCCAATAGGTGAACATGCAACAGTGAATCATAGGCAGGATTGTTGAATTTCTGACCTCTAGTCATACGAAAGATTTCTTCATATACATGTATGTCTGTTCACTGATATAACGCGACGTCGGTATTGTATATACATGTATGTCTGTTCACTGATATAACGCGACGACGGTATTGTATATACATGTATGTCTGTTCACTGATATAACGCGACGACGGTATTGTATATACATATGTTAGAAACCTATATTTCCCTTTATATTACAAATTTAATTTATTATTTAATTCATCGTACGAATGTATTCCATATTCACACACCAGTTTAGTACATGACGTTCCTGATCGTCCCTACGTTGATAAAACACGCTTGTGTTTCGACCTTTCATTGACCCTCGCCGCGACTGACGGCTGAGGTACGGTCGATGCGCGCATACTGCCTTTACAAGCCATATGATGGGAAATCACATAGCGACAAGCAGAATGCGTTTGATTAACCTAAACTCGTACGATCAATTTATCGGAATATTTCAACAATGGAAATCAATGTGTTCTCATTTTATGCTCCTTATGAAATCTAAAGTCAAAATGTGAACGTGAGAATCTTCACAATCCACATTCAGTGAAACCCCTTTAAACCGGAAACCGACATTCCGGAAATGATTATTTTAACATCTACATGCATACAAAGAACGATATTAAATACCCAGACTCGCCTATCCGGAAACCTGTTTATCTGGACGATGTCACTTGAAACGGCACAGTCCACATTAACGACTTTTCACTGTATTTCAATATATAACACTTTCAAAATCATTTAATTCAGGTGGATGTTATGGACATTTATTTTTATTTCGCAAATAAGGGAAATTCCAATGTATATCTGTAATAATGACCTGATTCCCATTTACATTGTGCAACATGTCACTAACTGTTCAACAACCACCAGCCGCTCAAGTGGACCTCGCTTGTTGACAATGCTGATGATACCATAATCTGTCTATGACAATTGTATATACATGCGCATGTTTAGACAGGTGTAATCAGCTGGGTTATTGTACACAGTGTGTATCGATTCTGTTACCATGTTTTAGAATGGCATAACAGCATGGTACAGCGATCAGCGCATTCACTCAAAGCATAACAGTTTTGTTATCAGTTGAATGTATTTTGTAATCTATTTTTTTTCGTTTGTATGTCGTAGACGTTGAATAACATTTGTGATACAAGAAGAATGATAATATGAGTGAAGTGTTAGAATAATGCATCCTTAAGTAATTATCAGAACCTGGCAGAATATTTTCGTTCAGTAATATATCTGTCGAGAACCATAACAACTATGAACAAATCTGTCTGTTTCAGTTGACAACTTTTGACGATTGAATAAACTATAGTGGAGATATGTACAAACAAGTGTTTGGTCGTAGAGATGTGTACAAAGAAGTGTTGGGCCGTAGAGAGTTGTACAAACAAGTGTTGGGCCGTAGAGAAGGGTACAAACAAGTGTTGGGACGTAGAGAGTTGTACAAACAAGTGTTGGGCTGTAGAGAGTTGTACAAACAAGTGTTGGGCCGTAGAGAGTTGTACAAACAAGTGTTGGGCTGTAGAGATGGGTACAAACAAGTGTTGGGCCGTAGAGATGTGTACAAACAAGTGTTGGGCCGTAGTGATATGTACAAACAAGTGTTGGGCCGTAGAGAGTTGTACAAACAAGTGTTGGGCTGTAGAGATGGGTACAAAGAAGTGTTGGGCTGTAGAGATGTGTACAAACAAGTGTTGGGCCGTAGAGATGGGTACAAACAAGTGTTGGGCTGTAGAGATGGGTACAAACAAGTGTTGGGCTGTAGAGATGGGTACAAACAAGTGTTGGGCTGTAGAGATGGGTACAAACAAGTGTTGGGCCGTAGAGAGTTGTACAAACAAGTGTTGGGTCGTAGAGATGTGTACAAACAAGTGTTGGGCCGTAGAGATGGGTACAAACAAGTGTTGGGCTGTAGAGAGTTGTACAAACAAGTGTTGGGCTGTAGAGATGGGTACAAACAAGTGTTGGGCTGTAGAGAGTTGTACAAACAAGTGTTGGGCTGTAGAGATGGGTACAAACAAGTGTTGGGCTGTAGAGAGTTGTACAAACAAGTGTTGGGCTGTAGAGATGGGTACAAACAAGTGTTGGGCTGTAGAGAGTTGTACAAACAAGTGTTGGGCCGTAGAGATGGGTACAAACAAGTGTTGGGCTGTAGAGAGTTGTACAAACATGTGTTGGGCTGTAGAGATGTGTACAAACAAGTGTTGGGCCGTAGAGAAGGGTACAAACAAGTGTTGGGCCGTAGAGATGGGTACAAACAAGTGTTGGGCTGTAGAGAGTTGTACAAACAAGTGTTGGGCCGTAGAGAGTTGTACAAACAAGTGTTGGGCCGTAGAGAAGGGTACAAACAAGTGTTGGGCTGTAGAGATGGGTACAAACAAGTGTTGGGCCGTAGAGAGTTGTACAAACAAGTGTTGGGCTGTAGAGATGGGTACAAACAAGTGTTGGGCTGTAGAGAGTTGTACAAACAAGTGTTGGGCTGTAGAGATGGGTACAAACAAGTGTTGGGCTGTAGAGAGTTGTACAAACAAGTGTTGGGCCGTAGAGATGGGTACAAACAAGTGTTGGGCTGTAGAGAGTTGTACAAACATGTGTTGGGCTGTAGAGATGTGTACAAACAAGTGTTGGGCCGTAGAGAAGGGTACAAACAAGTGTTGGGCCGTAGAGATGGGTACAAACAAGTGTTGGGCTGTAGAGATGGGTACAAACAAGTGTTGGGCCGTAGAGATGTGTACAAACAAGTGTTGGGCCGTAGAGATGGGTACAAACAAGTGTTGGGCTGTAGAGATGGGTACAAACAAGTGTTGGGCTGTAGAGAGTTGTACAAACAAGTGTTGGGCTGTAGAGATGGGTACAAACAAGTGTTGGGCTGTAGAGAGTTGTACAAACAAGTGTTGGGCTGTAGAGAGTTGTACAAACAAGTGTTGGGCCGTAGAGATGGGTACAAACAAGTGTTGGGCTGTAGAGAGTTGTACAAACATGTGTTGGGCTGTAGAGATGTGTACAAACAAGTGTTGGGCCGTAGAGAAGGGTACAAACAAGTGTTGGGCCGTAGAGATGGGTACAAACAAGTGTTGGGCCGTAGAGAGTTGTACAAACAAGTGTTGGGCCGTAGAGATGGGTACAAACAAGTGTTGGGCTGTAGAGAGTTGTACAAACAAGTGTTGGGCCGTAGAGAGTTGTACAAACAAGTGTTGGGCTGTAGAGATGGGTACAAACAAGTGTTGGGCCGTAGAGAGTTGTACAAACAAGTGTTGGGCTGTAGAGATGTGTACAAACAAGTGTTGGGCTGTAGAGATGTGTACAAACAAGTGTTGGGCTGTAGAGATGTGTACAAAGAAGTGTTGGGCCGTAGAGAAGGGTACAAACAAGTGTTGGGACGTAGTGATGTATACAAACAAGTGTTGGGCCGTAGAGAGTTGTACAAACAAGTGTTGGGCTGTAGAGATGTGTACAAACAAGTGTTGGGCTGTAGAGATGTGTACAAACAAGTGTTGGGCTGTAGAGATGGGTACAAACAAGTGTTGGGCTGTAGAGAGTTGTACAAACAAGTGTTGGGCCGTAGAGATATGTAGAAAGAAGTGTTGGGCCGTAGAGATGTGTAGAAAGAAGTGTTGGGCCGTAGATATATGTACAAACAAGTGTTGGGCCGTAGTGATGTATACAAACAAGTGTTGGGCCGTAGAGATGTGTACAAACAAGTGTTGGACCGTAGAGATGTGTACAAACAAGTGTTGGGCCGTAGAGAGTTGTACAAACAAGTGTTGGGCCGTAGAGATGTGTACAAACAAGTGTTGGGCCGTAGAGAGTTGTACAAACAAGTGTTGGGCCGTAGTGATGTGTACAAAGAAGTGTTGGGCCGTAGAGAAGGGTACAAAGAAGTGTTGGGCCGTAGAGATGTGTACAAAGAAGTGTTGGGCCGTAGAGAGTTGTACAAACAAGTGTTGGGCCGTAGAGAGTTGTACAAACAAGTGTTGGGCCGTAGAGAGTTGTACAAACAAGTGTTGGGCGGTAGAGAGTTGTACAAACAAGTGTTGGGCCGTAGAGAGTTGTACAAACAAGTGTTGGGCCGTAGAGAGTTGTACAAACAAGTGTTGGGCCGTAGAGAGTTGTACAAACAAGTGTTGGGCTGTAGAGATGGGTACAAACAAGTGTTGGGCCGTAGAGAGTTGTACAAACAAGTGTTGGGCTGTAGAGATGTGTACAAACAAGTGTTGGGCCGTAGAGAGTTGTACAAACAAGTGTTGGGCCGTAGAGAGTTGTACAAACAAGTGTTGGGCCGTAGAGAGTTGTACAAACATGTGTTGGGCTGTAGAGATGTGTACAAACAAGTGTTGGGCCGTAGAGATGTGTACAAACAAGTGTTGGGCCGTAGAGATGGGTACAAACAAGTGTTGGGCCGTAGAGATGTGTAGAAAGAAGTGTTGGGCCGTAGATATATGTACAAACAAGTGTTGGGCCGTAGTGATGTATACAAACAAGTGTTGGGCTGTAGAGATGGGTACAAACAAGTGTTGGGCCGTAGAGAGTTGTACAAACAAGTGTTGGGCCGTAGTGATGTGTACAAACAAGTGTTGGGCCGTAGAGAGTTGTACAAACAAGTGTTGGGCCGTAGAGATGTGTACAAACAAGTGTTGGGCCGTAGAGATGTGTACAAAGAAGTGTTGGGCCGTAGAGAGTTGTACAAACAAGTGTTGGGCCGTAGAGAGTTGTACAAACAAGTGTTGGGCCGTAGAGAGTTGTACAAACAAGTGTTGGGCCGTAGAGATATGTAGAAAGCAGTGTTGGGACGTAGAGATGTGTAGAAAGAAGTGTTGGGCCGTAGAGATGTGTACAAACAAGTGTTGGGCCGTAGAGATATGTAGAAAGAAGTGTTGGGCCGTAGAGATGTGTAGAAAGAAGTGTTGGGCCGTAGATATATGTACAAACAAGTGTTGGGCCGTAGTGATGTATACAAACAAGTGTTGGGCTGTAGAGATGTGTACAAACAAGTGTTGGGCCGTAGAGATATGTAGAAAGAAGTGTTGGGCCGTAGAGATGTGTAGAAAGAAGTGTTGGGCCGTAGAGATGTGTACAAACAAGTGTTGGGCCGTAGAGATATGTAGAAAGAAGTGTTGGGCCGTAGAGATGTGTAGAAACAAGTGTTGGGCCGTAGAGATGTGTAGAAAGAAGTGTTGGGCCGTAGATATATGTAGAAACAAGTGTTGGGCCGTAGATATATGTACAAACAAGTGTTGGGCCGTAGAGATGTGTACAAACAAGTGTTGGGCCGTAGTGATGTGTACAAAGAAGTGTTGGACTTTAGAGAAGGGTACAAACAGTGCCCGACATTGGTGTAAGCCACACTTTTAAGGCCTCTACTTCTGTGTTCCAGATGGGGCGTACTTCTGTTACACCCGACACGAACCGGTGGGAGTTTGCGGACAGATCATTCCGGTTGGTTGCTCCTCTGTTGTTCTTCTGTTGTTCATATGTTGTTCCTCTGTTGTTCTTCTGTTGTTCCTCTGTGGTTCATATGTTGTTCCTCTGTTGTTCATATGTTGTTCCTCTGTTGTTCTTCTGTTGTTCCTCTGTTGTTCATCTGTTGTTCATTTGATGTTCCTCTGTTGTTCATATGTTGTTCCTCTGTTGTTCTTCTGTTGTTCATCTGTAGTTCCTTTGATGTTCCTCTGTTGTTCATATGTTGTTCCTCTGTTGTTCTTCTGTTGTTCATATGTTGTTCCTCTGTTGTTCTTCTGTTGTTCCTCTATTGTTCATATGTTGTTCCTCTGTTGTTCTTCTGTTGTTCCTCTGTTGTTCATTTGATGTTCCTCTGTTGTTCATATGTTGTTCCTCTGTTGTTCTTCTGTTGTTCCTCTGTTGTTCATATGTTGTTCCTCTGTTGTTCCTCTGTTGTTCATCTGTTGTTCATTTGATGTTCCTCTGTTGTTCATATGTTGTTCCTCTGTTGTTCTTCTGTTGTTCCTCTGTTGTTCATATGTTGTTCCTTTGATGTTCCTCTGTTGTTCATATGTTGTTCCACTGTTGTTCATATGTAGTTCCTCTGTTGTTCATCTGTTGTTTATTTGATGTTCCGCTGTTGTTCCTCTGTTGTTCCTCTGTTGTTCTTCTGTTGTTCATCTGTAGCTCACTTGATGTTCCTCTGTTGTTCCTCTGTTGTTCTTCTGTTGTTCCTCTGTTGTTCATATGTTGTTCCTCTGTTGTTCATATGTTGTTCCTCTGTCGTTCTTCTGTTGTTCCTCTGTTGTTCATCTGTAGTTCCTTTGATGTTCCTCTGTTGTTCCTCTGTTGTTCATATGTTGTTCCTCTGTTGATCTTCTGTTGTTCATATGTTGTTCATCTGTAGTTCCTTTGATGTTCCTCTGTTGTTCATATGTTGTTCCTCTGTTGTTCATATGTTGTTCCTCTGTTGTTCTTCTGTTGTTCCTCTGTAGTTCCTCTGTTGTTCATTTGATGTTCCTCTGTTGTTCATATGTTGTTCCTCTGTTGTTCATATGTTGTTCTTCTGTTGTTCTTCTGTTGTTCCTCTGTTGTTCATATGTTGTTCCACTGTTGTTCATATGTTGTTCCTCTGTTGTTCTTCTGTTGTTCTTCTGTTGTTCCTCTGTTGTTCTTCTGTTGTTCCTCTGTTGTTCATCTGTAGTTCCTTTGATGTTCCTCTGTTGTTCATATGTTGTTCCTCTGTTGTTCCTCTGAAGTTCATCTGTTGTTCACATGTTGTTCATCTGTTGTTCACATGTTGTTCATCTGTTGTTCACATGTTGTTCATCTGTTGTTCACATGTTGTTCATCTGTAGTTCATTTGATGTTCCTGTTGTTCTTCTGTTGTTCACATGTTGTTCCTTTGTTGTTTATCTGTTGTCCCTCTGTTGTTCATTTGTAGTTCATCGGATCTTCACTGGGAAGAACCGAACTGACGAGAGAAAGTCATTGATGATTATTTATGCAGTATACAGTAAATAAATGATTTCGTTAAACAGCTAAGATGTTACACGCGAATGTATTAACGATACTTTAAGTATTTGTGGTACCAATTTGTTTCCTTCAGTGGAACTTCCCGGTCCCGATGTTGATCTGGAAGATTGCCCCTGCGCTGGCGTGTGGGAACACCATTGTCGTGAAGCCGGCGGAACAGACGCCTCTCTCAGCGCTCTACATAGCGTCTCTTGTTAAAGAGGTATCGTAGCTCACCTGTCTATCTTTGTTTAACCCGACCAGTGTTGGTGCACTGAAATTAAGAGTACAACGTAAGAAAACCAACAATCAAATTACAATTTCACAATGTAGAAAACACGCATTCGTACATTGAAAAGGAACAATACAAAGGTCTACCACATGTTATGGTATAGATGTTTATTACCGATATGCTTGAAACTGTCACCAGGCCGGGTTCCCGCCAGGCGTCGTCAACATGGTTCCTGGGTACGGCCCCACCGCCGGCGCTGCCATCGCCTCCCACCCCGACGTCGACAAGGTGGCCTTCACGGGGTCGACAGAGGTACGTCCACGTCTCATACAGCAACACAAACAAATTAGCCTCCAACTACAATGGAGGATAACGAATTAATTCATTCGGGTACCAGGTTGTCCCAGTCGCTGGTATTGGCTGGTATCTGATACAGCAACATACACAAACAAATTAGCCTCCAACTTCAATGGAGGATAACGAATTAATTCATTCGGGTACCAGGTTGTCCCAGTCGTTGGCATTGGCTGGTATCTGATACAGCAACATACACAAACTAGCCTCTAACTTTAATGGAGGATAACGAATTAATTCATTTGGGTACTTGGTCGTCCCAGTCGCTGGTATTGGCTGCGGAAGTTACGTCTTGTATAGGTATGCCATGTTCCTATGATGATGGGTTCAAATTCCAGACCAGCTCTTGTGATCTTAGATTGCCAACACCGCGCTCGTGGGTTTCACCAAAGTGACCGATTAAGTCACCTCGGGCTTTCTTGTAACTCTAAATAAGCCGCCACGCTGTGACATAACTGGGATACTTTTCAGAATTGTGTGAAACACAACTCACTCAATCTCCTAATGTGAAATATGCTTTTGAAAGCAATACTAGGGTGATTATATATGTAGTGATATTTTCTCCCGCGAGTGTGTGTTGCATGCCCTGCTTGTTGTGTGCAGATCGGGCGGGTGGTGATGACATTGGCGGCCCAGTCCAACCTGAAGCGGGTCTCACTCGAGCTGGGAGGCAAGAGTCCTAATGTGGTGTTCGCCGATGCCGACTGTGAGTACTAATATCTGCACCGATTTGTACTTCTTGGATTTATTGTCCAGTGACTTGGTAAACGTCTGTCCGTAGTTCCACTGTCACCGTCCCCTCCCTCTCTCTCTCTCTCTCTCTCGCTCTCTCTCACTCACTCACTATCTCTCTCTGTTGTCCCAATTACCGTGTCTCTCTGTAGTTAGCCAATTACCGTCGCTATGTGTGTTCAAATACCACCTGTCTCTGTTGCCGACCCCCTCTCTCCGTGTGTCTCCCCCACTACTGTCTCTCTGGGTGGGTGTTGTCTGCCCACCCCACCCTCACTCACTCTTGACAGTGTGTTATCCTGCACCTCTTCTAATCGACGCTCATGCTCCCAACAACTGGATCCCCACGCCCATGTTTCAGTGGACTATGCGGTGGAGATGTCCCACATGGCGCTCTTCTTCAACATGGGCCAGTGCTGCGCAGCAGGGTCAAGGACGTACGTCCAGGAGGACATCTACGACGAGTTCGTCAAGCGGAGTGTGGCCAGAGCCAAGGCCAGGAAAGTAGGAGACCCCCTCGACGACTCCACCGAATCCGGGCCACAGGTGATTCCGTCGAGGCATGCACACTCATGTCCCGTCATATGCAACTCCCGGAGCATCACCTCCAGCAAGTTTGGCATATTATGTGTGGCGCTGCATACATCTCCAACTAGGGGGGTGGGGGTGGGGGAGAGAGAAGGGGGGTTGAAAAAGTGTGTGCGCGTGTGTGTGTGCGTGTGCGTGTGTGTGTGTGTGTGTGTGTGTGTGTGTTAGTCTTAAAGGGAGAGTAAAGTGAAATCACTGATTGTGATACTGTTGCGAATTTCAATTTTCATACATACTTGTAGTTAATTATGATATTCGATATCATGGAGCTTGTACGATAAAAAAAACTTCCAGTCGTCGTTTATTTCCTAAATATATTACTGCGGGGGAATAAACCATGAGGGGCTGCAGTGTTCTATTGTACGATGAACAACGACCACGAGTCGTTTATTTCTTATATGAGATATCAACATTATGTTTAAGGATGTTCATAAGTGTGCAAGCTTTGAAAATAGTTACCTTAATTTTAATAAAAAGGATGACTCCCAGAATAGAATCCGACCTCGGCAATGGCAGAGAGAGAGAGACTATCGACCTAGCACTCACAATCGCGGGCAAAGGACAAAACCATACTCCTGGCCCACCCTGGTCACAGTAAATATAAAATATGCCCTCATCCCCCGGTCATAAATATATTTTTTCAGATTGATGAGACTCAGTTTAATAAGATCCTATCGATGATCGAGAGTGGGGTGAAGGAAGGCGCCAAGCTGCAGTGTGGAGGCAAACGCCATGGAGACAAGGGGTTCTTCCTCCAACCAACTGTCTTCTCTGACGTCACAGAGGACATGTGCATTGGCAAAGATGAGGTTGGTATAAATGTCGGCACGTTGGGACACACGGAACGAATAAATCTCTCTCTGAATTTTACTTCGCATTTTTATAAAAGTTTTGACATAAACATTGTATAGTACAATGTTAAATTTGTAATTAATTGCAAATTCGTTCCTTAACTTCAGGTGGTGAGGTATATTTCCTGCTTAAAAAGTCGATAATTAAATGACATCAACGAAACGTTAGACATTGCCCACATTGTTCTACTACACTTAGATATTCGGACCGGTCCAGTGCATCCTCAAGTTCAAGACGATGGAGGAAGCGATAGAAAGAGCCAACAAGTCACAGTACGGCCTCGCTGCCTCCATTTTCTCCAAGGACATGGACAAGGTCATGGCCTTCACCAGCAGGGTCAAGGCCGGCACAGTCTGGTAAGTTTGGTAACTTAAGACAAAAAACGTCATTGACATACACCGTCTGTTGCTTCTTCCTCTCGGATTTGTGTAGACGGTCCCATGGTGTAAGCTGAAATCAAATACCGCATACGATCCTTTAATGTTACTAATGTTATATTTAAGATAACAATTTCCTAGTAACGTACAACTTCTAGTACTTTTTGCGATGAGTCCCATCCGGGATTCGAACCCACACTGCCAGAGTAAGGTACCTAATCGCCAGCACATCGTCTGCGATCTAACCCACTCATCCACCGATTGTTACATTTGACCACTTTCTAAATGACATTGTTTATTTGCGAAGCTTTTATGATAAAAATAAAAAGCCCAAATATGGAAATACGTTTAATCTGTATATTTAAAAACATTTGAAGCGTCAGTAAAATACTAGAAATGCATAGGTTCTGTAGTGGACAGTGAAATGCTAGTACTCTGCGTTGTTCGTCTCTCAGAATGTCCGGAATCAGAAGAAAACAAACACGGCCATTCCTTGTATTTCGTGATGTATGTCTATTAAACCGGCCAATAACCAACTCTGTGGTTTCTTTATAGGGTGAATTGTTACAACTGGTTAACAGCGCAGACACCGTTTGGCGGCTTCAAGCAGTCCGGATTCGGGAGAGAACTGTGAGTTAACGTCCACCGACTTCCCAGTGTCACTGTGTTAACTAAGAGCTGTATCTCAGCATCACTGTGTTAACATAGACCTGTATCTCAGCATCACTGTGTTAACATGGACCTGTATATCAGCATCACTGTGTTAACATGGACCTGTATCTCAGCATCACTGTGTTAGCATAGACCTGTATCTCAGCAACACTGTGTTAACATAGACCTGTATCTCAGCTTCACTGTGTTAACATGGACCTGTATCACAGCAACACTGTGTTAACATAGACCTGTATCTCAGCATCACTGTATTAACATAGACCTGTATCTCAGCAACACTGTGTTAACATAGACCTGTATCTCAGCAACACTGTGTTAACATAGACCTGTATCTCAGCATCACTGTGTTAGCATAGACCTGTATCACAGCATCACTGTGTTAACATAGACCTGTATCTCAGCATCACTGTGTTAGCATAGACCTGTATCACAGCATCACTGTATTAACATGGACCTGTATCTCAGCATCACTGTATTAACATAGACCTGTATCTCAGCTTCACTGTGTTAACATGGACCTGTATCACAGCAACACTGTGTTAACATAGACCTGTATCTCAGCATCTCTGTATTAACATAGACCTGTATCTCAGCAACACTGTGTTAACATAGACCTGTATCTCAGCAACACTGTGTTAACATAGACCTGTATCTCAGCATCACTGTGTTAGCATAGACCTGTATCACAGCATCACTGTGTTAACATAGACCTGTATCTCAGCATCACTGTGTTAGCATAGACCTGTATCACAGCATCACTGTGTTAACATAGACCTGTATCTCAGCATCACTGTATTAACATGGACCTGTATCTCAGCATCACTGTATTAACATAGACCTGTATCTCAGCATCACTGTATTAACATGGACCTGTATCTCAGCATCACTGTATTAACATAGACCTGTATCTCAGCATCACTGTGTTAACATAGACCTGTATATCAGCATCACTGTGTTAGCATAGACCTGTATCACAGCATCACTGTGTTAACATAGACCTGTATCTCAGCATCACTGTATTAACATAGATCTGTATCTCAGCATCACTGTGTGAACATAGACCTGTATATCAGCATCACTGTGTTAGCATAGACCTGTATCACAGCATCACTGTGTTAACATAGACCTGTATCTCAGCATCACTGTGTTAGCATAGACCTGTATCTCAGCAACACTGTGTTAGCATAGACCTGTATCACAGCATCACTGTGTTAACATAGACCTGTATCTCAGCATCACTGTATTAACATGGACCTGTATCTCAGCATCACTGTATTAACATAGACCTGTATCTCAGCATCACTGTGTTAACATAGATCTGTATCTCAGCTTCACTGTGTTAACATAGACCTGTATCTCAGCATCACTGTATTAACATGGACCTGTATCTCAGCATCACTGTATTAACATAGACCTGTATATCAGCATCACTGTGTTAACATAGACCTGTATCTCAGCATCACTGTGTTAACATAGATCTGTATCTCAGCTTCACTGTATTAACATGGACCTGTATCTCAGCATCACTGTATTAACATAGACCTGTATCTCAGCATCACTGTGTTAACATAGATCTGTATCTCAGCTTCACTGTGTTAACATAGACCTGTATCTCAGCATCACTGTATTAACATGGACCTGTATCTCAGCATCACTGTATTAACATGGACCTGTATCTCAGCATCACTGTATTAACATAGACCTGTATCTCAGCATCACTGTGTTAACATAGATCTGTATCTCAGCTTCACTGTGTTAACATAGACCTGTATCTCAGCATCACTGTATTAACATGGACCTGTATCTCAGCATCACTGTATTAACATAGACCTGTATATCAGCATCACTGTGTTAACATAGACCTGTATCTCAGCATCACTGTGTTAACATAGACCTGTATCTCAGCATCACTGTATTAACATAGATCTGTATCTCAGCATCACTGTGTTAACATGGACCTATATCTCAGCATCACTGTATTAACATAGACCTGTATCTCAGCAACACTGTGTTAACATAGACCTGTATCTCAGCATCACTGTGTTAACATAGACCTGTATCTCAGCATCACTGTGTTAACATAGACCTGTATCTCAGCATCACTGTATTAACATAGATCTGTATCTCAGCATCACTGTGTTAACATGGACCTATATCTCAGCATCACTGTGTTAACATAGACCTGTATCTCAGCATCACTGTATTAACATAGATCTGTATCACAGCATCACTGTATTAATATAGACCTGTATCTCAGCATCACTGTATTAACATAGACCTGCATCTCAGCATCACTGTGCTAACATAGACCTGTATCTCAGCATCATTGTGTTAACATAGACCTGTATCTCAGCATCACTGTATTAACATAGACCTGTATCTCAGCATCACTGTGTTAACATAGACCTGTATCTCAGCATCACTGTGTTAACATAGACCTGTATCTCAGCATCACTGTGTTAACATAGACCTATATCTCAGCATCACTGTATTAACATAGACCTGTATCTCAGCATCACTGTATTAACATAGACCTGTATCTCAGCATCACTGTATTAACATGGACCTGTATCTCAGCATCACTGTATTAACATAGACCTGTATATCAGCAACACTGTGTTAACATAGACCTGTATCTCAGCATCACTGTATTAACATAGACCTATATCTCAGCATCACTGTGTTAACATGGACCTGTATCTCAGCATCACTGTATTAACATAGACCTGTATCTCAGCATCACTGTTTTAACATAGACCTGTATCTCAGCATCACTGTGTTAACATAGATCTGTATCTCAGCATCACTGTTTTAACATAGACCTGTATCTCAGCATCACTGTGTTAACATAGACCTGTTTCTCAGCATCACTGTGTTAAAATAGACCTGTATCTCAGCATCACTGTGTTAACATAGACCTGTATCTCAGCATCACTGTATTAACATAGACCTGTATCTCAGCATCACTGTGTTAACATAGACCTGTATCTCAGCATCACTGTGTTGACATAGATCTGTATCTCAGCATCACTGTTTTAACATAGACCTGTTTCTCAGCATCACTGTATTAACATAGACCTGTATCTCAGCATCACTGTGTTAACATAGATCTGTATCTCAGCATCACTGTTTTAACATAGACCTGTTTCTCAGCATCACTGTGTTAACATAGACCTGTTTCTCAGCATCACTGTGTTAAAATAGACCTCTTTTACAGTCCGAGTAATCCTTAATGATACTGTGGTCGTGTTGTGACTGTGTTCCTTACGGGAGATAACTCAACTTATATGCGATGATCAACTTCGAGATAATCAGGTTCCCTTCTCAGTTCTGTGCACGAACATGTTTACAACTGTGGTTGGAGCGGCCAGCGATATTAGAATATCCACCAACCCATGGACATCCTCGATTATCCAGTGTTTAAATCTCCAATCTAATATCATAAATGTCCTGGAGTCATTCAGCACGATTGCTTGGTCTCGGAAGTGACGTCACCAGCTTAATCTCTCCAATCACTAGCTTAGCACACAATTTCTCTCGCCCATGATATAGTAATATACAACCAACCAAGACGTCTCTACCGAACTCAGTACGACATTTATCTAATTCAACATCGCGACCAAGTGGGGAGCGCTCGATATTTTCTGATCGATTCAGATGACTGCCCAAATGGACATCTAGTTGGAAAGGATGTTTCCTGATTGCTAACGCAAGGAAAGGAAGTTCTGCTAAAAGACGTTCGGGTCGATCGATGAATCCAGGGTTAATGTCATACTGGAATGGATGTTTGGTCCTCTGTCAGCGAGGATATGATCCATGAGATACTGTGGCTATTCCAAAACAAATCTTCGGGTTTTACAAAAACATAACCTTTCACTGAAAAGCTGAATGTTCTGAAAAACATACGTTGTGAGCCCCCCAAAATGTTTACATCTTTTGAATTGCTGAGTGAATACTAGTATAAAGCCTAAAACACAATCTCACCCGAATGGCTGTCCCTTAGTATTGAATTAAAGCAAAGAAAGGGTGAGTGTTCAGAAGGCTGTAGGGTGTCACCTAGACAGCATCTGGGTGATAAGTCTCATGTTCACAGATATGTCGTGTCTCAACGTACCAATACATGTGTCACACACTGATGAGAGCGCTCAGTGTATCATAGAGGTGCGGTCTAATTCCACATACTAAAGTTAAGCTTCTGAACCTCTTCCTTTTCTTTCAGGGGTGAATATGCTCTTCACGAATACACGGAAGTGAAAACGGTAGGTTGATTTCGCCAAGTTCACGACATACATGGTCACGGGGTACATCCAGCCCTTGTCTTCCATTATGACCTCTTCAAAGCAATGTGATGTGACAGATTCCTAACATGGCTTAAGTACTGGTATACAATTACAATAATCTATAATTCCAGAAAATACCGTTACATTGTTACGTTTTGCATTTATTATACACCATGAGCATCACTTTATCTAAGCATATATTACAAAGTGTGAGTGAGTGAGTATGGGTTTACGCCGCTTTTAGCAATATTCCAGCAATATCACGGCGGGGGGACACCAGAAATGGGCTTCACACATTGTACCCATGTAGGGATTCGAACCAGGGTCTTCGGCGTGACGAGCGAACGCTTTAACCACTAGGCTACCCGACCGCCTCCATATTACAATGTACATATTAGTTGTTAGGGCAGAACATGAATACAATCTATGTCAGCTGGGCTAAGTTTAGACATGTGTACCAAATGATAGCTTTTATGAACTAAATGTATCTATAAATATAACGTTGTCAGACATTGCTTTGGGGTATAAATTTAATGTACGCCAGCTAGCACTGACTGATACAGAGACAATCCGCTTCCATAACCAGTGTTTTAACATTGATGTTTATCTTCGCTTTATTAGATAGTAACTGTTGTATTTGTGTAGATGGATTATAAATATTAAAATTAGAACAGTGGTAATATACTACTCAAAAGAAGTTAGGATCACATGATTCTTTCATATCACAATAGTTAATCTCTCATGCCATGACAGATTAACATTACCAATGTGAAAGAATCGGGTGATCCTTAATTTCTTTTGAGTACTATATATTTAAATTGGATTTTATTGATATGACTATGTATTTGGGGGTTTGTCTAGTTCTCTGAGAAACCCCAATACACACACACCTCTGAAAATAATCGATTCCTCAATAAACATTCTCAACTGTGTGATGGTTTGTATACCATTAATGCAAAGATATAGGAGATTCGAAGAAAGTATTTTCAAATTTATAACAGAAACCGCTCGATGAAAGGAAACTATTGTAAAAAGAAATTGTTAATGAAATTGCTGTAATAAATATAAATAAATACGTTTTATATGACCCTAATGACGTACAGATAGTCTGGTTTACTAAACCTGTAAGAGAATAGTATGATACTCCCACAATTTAAATCAGTTAAATACCAACTTTACCAAAGCTATTTATGTTATATCCAGCACATACATACATTGTACTCAGCAACACGTTCTTACATTACATAATAAGATTGTAATTCTTCTTTTTTTTTTTATAACACCTTAAGCTTTGAATATAGAAGCTTGTTTATTGTTTAACGTGGCACAAAACAATATTCAACCTATATGACGGCTGCTCGTACATAACATAGACTTCACAAGGCAAACCAGTAACTGGTATTGTTAGCAACGATCCACGCGAGCGGGGTACGATGGTACACAATCCACCAAGTTACCGGGTCTGGCCTCTTACGACAAGCATGGGCTACAGGGGAATCCCCGCGGGGTGTGAATATTAACATGATTTCACTATGGTGTTGGTATATGCTTAGAAACACCTTTTATATATCTCTAGATATGCTGGATATGATATTTTATTGTAATTAATTTATCTAAAATATGTGTACTTAGAAATTCATTGTTGAAATTAATTAAAATAAAAAAAACAAAACCTTTATGTAGGCAGCTTTCTTCATCTAATTTTGATATCTCGTTTAAAAATGAATAATTTGCAAAAAAAGATTAACAGCTGAGAAATGAGTTGGATGACTTGCCGAATATACTTTTGTACAAAAGAATATATTAGAATCAGAGAGGTTCAATACTTTTAAAACAGGAATAAGCGAGCGCTGTTGTGACGCCTACATACATTTTACTTTCAGACGCGGGTAGAATAAGAGTTATCGTTCTTGTTTGAAGTTGTTCTCGTGTTCGTACGCAAATAATGAAACCTTCGAGGGGGGCACGAGTCTACATTCGGCTTGTCCCGGAAAGGGACGAGTTGGTCATGAATGTAGGAAGACCTAGTCGCATGGAACAATTACGACCAGGATATAGATATTAAAGATGAATTAACTCCCAACGCTACCGTCCTGTCATAATGTATGTGTTACCGTCACGGTGACGTGTTGCAGGTTACAATGAAGACCTCGTCGAAGATTTGAGCTGTTGATGACGTCCGATGCCACGTGACAAGTCTGCCGGACCAACACCAGGATCTGCTGTTCTCCCTTCGCGACATCTAAAGATCTGATGATCTAAATGAAGACTTGTTTCTACGTCCATCGGCGTCACTGAACGTTGACGTAGGGTAACCCCAAACAACGGCTGAATAATGGCTACACGTTTCCATATTCCATATTGATAATACAAAGCAGTCAAGACTCTTGATAGACTCAATTACTGCAATGTTTACCTTTGAGAGAACTTGATTCTGGATACGCTTGACTAATAGCAGTACATAAATATATCTATCCTTACTCAATAATTAATGTTACTTGTGTTTTTGAGCGGCTTCCAACTCTCGCGCTGTTCTTGTCAGCAATTGTAATGCAGTTGCAGGAAATGCCGTCATTGTCAACTGAGACAACGGTGCTTGCAACTACATTTGATCCATGCCCGATGCCGCAAGATTCATGTTGAGATGAATTCCACGAAACAACAGAGACTAAAATAAGAATATGATTACGTCGCTGACAGTTACGTGCCAATGCTATATAATGTCATTCAGCCAAATTGCTAAACATTGTATTCGTTTGGACAGGCTGAATGTGTGGTTTCTCCAAACAAATTCAGATTTGGTTTGTTTGCTGTTTAACGCCGCACTCAGCAATAATCATACTATATGACAGCGGTATGTAAATATTCTGTTCTGGACCAGACAATCCAGTGATTAACGTCATAAGCCTCGATCTACGCAATTGGGATACAATGAAATGCATCAACCAAGGCAGCGAGCCTGACCACCCGATCCCGTTAGTCGCCTCTTACGACAAGCATGGGTTGCTTAAAAATCTAACTCGGATCTTCACGGGTCGAGCCTGGACAATAACAGCTCCTTGAGTGTCTGGGTGGTCGGGTAGCCTAGTGGTCCCCCGCCATGATATTGCTGGAATGTTGCTAAAAGCGGTGTAAAACCGTACTGACTCACTCCTGGAGTGTTGAGTTCAGGGGTAGAAATCCATGCTATGAGCTCCACCTTGCTGACGTCTTACAGGGGTTTGAACATAAACCTGATAAGAATACCATATGCCCATGACTTGTTCCACAGACCTCCACCGTGGTGTAGCGGATCGAGCTCTGCCTGGAGAGAGGAAGGTCGGCTGTTCGATCGCCGACGGTTTCACTAAAAGACGTTACAAATAGTACTTATCTTGCTGCCTAACGACTCTCACCAAGGGGATAAAACAAGGCCAGCTGTCTGTATGAACACTGCTGTCTGCATTATTCTAGACATATTGTAAATAATGGCGTCTTAGCCAGACAAACCAGAGCTATGACAACGTATGATGGCACCTATGACCCAGGTAACCGAGTCTGACCCTCCGATCGATTTGAGACAATATTTCTTTTCCAGGTTCGAACTGAAGCAGTTTCTGAACAAACCAGGAGTGTTGTTATTGCGCAACGGGCTACACGCCTCATTAATTATATTATTGATGACACTAAGTAAACCTCCATCCATGTCGGGGGTCGGCACATAATCGAGGTCGGACCAGTGAGTCTAGTGGTTGACATCATGAAAGGGATATCTTGATTTCTAACCAAGTCAGCGAGTCCGACCACCCGATCTCGTTCGTCGCCTATTAAAAACATAGGTTTATGATATTTTTTCTAACCCGGTTTTCATGTAAGTTCGTTTATTTAAGGACAACTCAACTCAACTCGACGATTATAGCGACTTTTAAGAATTGAGTATCTGAAAGAGAAATTTTATTCCTTTTCCCTCAGGTTTAGGAAATTTATGTTGAAACATAAAATCGTTGACAAATGTGCTTTCAGATTCCAAGTTAGATCAAACACTTCCCTTCGGGTTTTTATGATATTTAAGAATCCGAGGGATAAAACCTAGGGGCGTTATTAAATCTCAGAAAACTCCGAAGTGAAGTGTTTTATCCTACATGTCGTGTAAGTGGGCCACACGTGCAATGGAATCTCATAGTGCTATGTCATACGAGACGGTTGATTTGGCAAAACAGGACATGAGCTTGGTTGTTAGACTGTTAGTTTTCTCAACAAGAAATATGGGTTTCCTACTACGGAATTCCAGCTGGAACCAGTACGAACTGGAGTCTACAGTCGAAGTGACGATTCTCGAGTGATTATACAACAGATTTCATCACACTCAACTTGTGCGGCAACTCCTGTCACAGCTGGAGTCATTGGTTCACGCGACACGTCGGGAATCGAACCAGTTCAATACATCGGCTTTTTGCGCCAGTGAGTACACAATGCCATTTAGAAAGTAGTAAAATGTAACAAATGCTATATTTGGGATAACACTTTCTCAGTAAAACCTTAGTCACACTAGAGGCGGAATGCCGTCCGAATGAAAATTCTTTGTTTATTCCTGGATATTCGAAGTGCATTCTAAAACTTCTGACTGCACTCTGACTGCATTATAAATATTCTTACGGCATTCCAACAGCATTCGAAACATTCTGATCGCATTCGAGGGAGAATCGAAACGCAAAGCCACTTCATATCCTGCCAGAATGCGCCTCAAATGAGCCGGAACGCACCTTGAATGCATCTCGATTGCTGCCGGAATCTATTCGTGTTACATTCTAAGTACATGCGAAGTTCATTCTAAGTATTCGAGCTGCATTCTGTTTGAATTCTTGGACGTTCGAACCATATTCGGCGGCCATTCCGGGAGCGTTCTGACTTCATTCGACGTGAATTCGTACGGGATTCGAGGCACCTTCCAACCAGACTTCGGGCGGTATTCGGGCAGCAATCGAACCGCACTCGTATGACATTTGAAGTGCATTCTAAGTATTCTGACTGCATTCTAACAGCATTCTAAATATTCCTACTGTGTTCCAACTACATGCAAGTTGCATTCGAGAGCTAATACACCGGAATGTGCAAAAATAATTCGAGGCGGGATCGAAGCGCATTCTAAGTATTCGAACGGCATTCTTACAAAGCTTGGTAAATTTGAAATTCCATCTCAAATGTGGCACGAAATTTGAAAATTCTTCATTCCGGCTGGTTCTGCTTGATCCCTGCTGATTCCAAATAAGTGTGACGGGGGCTTAAAGAACAGACTCTAGTACTTTCTTTTGGGTTGAGACCCATCCGGGATTCGAACCCATACTGCCAGAGTGACACCTAATCGCGAGCACACTATGCCAGCAAACTAAGTCAGCTACCAAGGCAGAGTGGGTTAGATTGCTCACTTTGTGTGCTTGCAATTTGGTGCATCACTCTAGGAGTTTGGGTTCGAATCCCGGATGGGACTGAACCTAAAAAGCTCCAAGATTTCCAAATTAACGCAATTATCTGTCCGCCCGATGCGTTTTATCCCAAGTCATAACGAGATATTGGAGGTTTCAGGTCGATCCAACCATACAGATTTTCTTTGGAAGATTTGAGAACTCCACGAAAATTCCCAAGGTGGAATCTATCAGGCAAACGCCCTTCCTTTGGGAAGATGCAGAACTACATGCTCAAGACGTCTACAAATCCCACACCCGTCTCCCACAACATCCGCACACGTCCATCCAGCCAAGTGGGTGGCTGGTGATAGTAAACGTCCACGTGGAACACAGCTTCTCTGGATCTGTTCGCCAAGTGTTTAAACAACTAAATAATATCCTACGCGAAAGCATCCAGGAGCGTCCGGGCAACGACAGGGAACGTCCGGGAACGTCTGGGAACGTCCGGGAGAATAATACTGAATAATAAAGTGTATTCCATATGATTGTGTTCGTGTATTAATATAATAAAGTGCCGTTAATGAGGATGCCAACCCCCTACTCCCTTAAATCACGAATTCATTGCTTACCTCTGAATCCCGAATACTATTTAACACAAATCTTAAAAGCATTGAGAAAAGGGGTGCCATCTGAAGTTAAATGACTGCAACAAATAAAAAAACAAAACATATATCACCATATATAAACATTCAACAAGATCCCAGCATATGTCAATTCGGTATTGAACCCCATGCATTTGATAAAGGTAGGTTATTCACAAGAGTGAGTGAGTTGAGTTTAACGCTCACTAACAGTATTCCAGTCATATCACAGCTTGTCAGCTTAATGTGGGAGGAAAACCCGAAGTGATGCAGGTCTCAGACGTTTACCACTTTGGTGAAACCCACGAGCACGGGTATGGTGCTGACACACCTAGAAACATAATCGGGGCGAACCGGGATTCGAACACACAATCATAGGTTTCTGGCGTGCCCAAGGGACGCAACTCTGCACAGCGAATTGCGGCGCCTTAGACGACTTGGCCACCCGTTCCCCCGACAAGAAATATCAACCAATAGTTATCAGTGTTAATAATTCAAAGAATACTGCCTCTATTACACCATGAGTAATCCGACCTACCTCCCTAATATTTTGTCGACTAGGTTGTTTGAAGTGAAGTATCCAACACTTTCGCATGCGCAACAGGTCAGGATGTCCGGATACCGCTGCTTGCACTAGTGTGATGGCTAGTTGACAGTGAACAGGACGTCTGTTGAAAATCTGAAGGTTTTATTGTGTGATGACAACTTAGATGCAGGATTTATGGCCGTGATAATAATAATAGTAGCAGTGTTGTTTAAATTAAACGGCTGCTTATAACTGCAAATAAGGAGTTAGGGCAAAATATAGGACAATTTGTGTCATAATCCTCTGCCGCGGGAAGTTCAGGTCACGTGTAAATCTTGTGAGTTACGATGACAAGTTTCTTGTTTCACAGCGTGTCCGATAAGCGGGGCACACTGGCCACGTTAACCTTGACATAGTTTCCACAGTGGACGTGACCAAATGGGGCATTTACTTCAGAACAAGATATACTTTTAATAGATTTAAAACCTACTAAATAAATATAATAAAAAAATAAGTTCGTACCCTACCCCCAACCCCTTCAAGAAAGTCATAAGAAACGTTATCATAACTAAAAAAATATTGAGATCTGATTGGTCGACGTGATCCTGTTTAAAATGCTGTGTATCCCGAATGGTAGGGAAATGAAATTCTCAGCGGGAGAATTAATCCCTTATACCCCGCCACGAGCAAAACAGGTTGCACGTGGATTTCTGAGAGGCAGAATATATCCCTTATACCCCACTTCGAAACAAAAAGCTGCAAGCATTTTCCGAGTCAATGAAACTCACGTGACATGGCATAAGTTAGCCTCTGCTCAATCGAACATCTGTCTTCTGTCAATTTTGAATTTGTTTTAATTCTTTTACAATGTCATTAAAACATGTCGGTGAGATGGGGTTTAATGCGTCCCCCGTTAGGTTTTATACTCCGGCTCGTGGTATAAAACCTAACTCGGGACGCATAAAACCCCATGGACCCCGAGTGATCCTGTTTCACAAGATAACAGTGACGCAGAGGATCATGACGGCGCAAAGAATTTGTGTAGCATACCTACCTACTGATGTCATTAAGCGCACATGTGGAATCCAAAAGATAAAACAAATTGAAATTTGCATGTGGTACCTTCAGAATCAGGATTAAGAATATGGCACAATTCAGTTTATATATTCATGTAAAATAAAAGTAGAAAACAAACATAGTATGAAAACAAAACTAGTAATATGTTTTCCCAACAACGACTTCCTGAAACATTTGTTCTTGTTTTCAAGGAACAGGGGGTATTAAGTTGACACAATCATAGTGGTATACATGTACTGTTTACATTGATATATCTACAGTGGTAAAGTTATCAATATTTGTTAATGATTAAACTTTTCAATATAATAGCTATATTGTTGATATATTATTTTATAATGAAGCAGATATTGTTACAATTGAAACCCACAACGTTGTGAGTACGTTTCTTACAAAATCAGAAAATTAGTCCTTAGAGGAAAAAAGGACATCGGATTACACATGAATGGTTTAATAATGTCAGCTAATGACCAGAAACGGTCTGATGCATCAATTAACTACACAAAGACGATTTTGAAGTATCTCTTATTGCTGGAAAAGAATAGCATCAACATTCCACGCACATGATTTGTATGTTTTGTTTCCGTAAATGCGTGCCCCCCTCCCCCCTCCCCCCTCCTCGACAGGCAGATCGCTTCACGGAAACTGGGTCACGCCGCGAGATGCTGTATTGAGAAAGAAATAGGTCGGATAGAGCTAGACTGGTACCCTGCCCTTCTCCACTAGTGGCTGTAGGCAAGGAGAGCAAGCGCTCTAGGGCAGATAAACCAGTGACTCCCGTTTATCTTCTTTGCCGAATATCATAAACATGTTCAGAGTAATAATTTACAATGAGGAATGTTTTAACTAATATTTTCATATTTATATAACGTATGTACGCATATCATTTTACATATGTGAGACAAAAATAGAGTTTTAGTTTGGTAAGAAACATCTTTCCAACAATTACTCATCCTATGTCCCCATGTAGTTTTCTTAAACCCGTAACACATAAGGCAAACCCGAGCAAATATCCTGAGTGACCGAAATTCATCTCTTTTATATAACTTATCACGTGAGAGGAAATTCAATTCGCAACAGCTGAAGACGTTTATGTCCCCTTGACGTGAAAAGTACAGTTATATAGCGGTAGCTTTTCGGGGAATACTTTGATATGCTAATTCATGCAAATGAGGGAGTGAAACTGGCGGGGTGAACTGAGCAGCCCGGAGTAGCCAGTACTGAGAGTAGCATGCGACGCTCAAAGTGTAAGATGGCTCTGCCGCTCCCCTTCACGGAAGCCATACGGAACCCGCAGGTCAAATTTACAAAGGTAGGTGCTTCACTACTTTAGTTAAAAACTAAGGTGACAGATGCAATGATAGTGAATGTGTAATGACGAGTAGATCATTGTCTGTGTATCCACCGATACATGACTGACACCTTGTTGGCATACTGTTGATAAACTTGCGTATAGCTGCTCTTGGTATAGATATCTCTATATAGAAATGAGGCGGTACTGCAACAAACCGGTTGATGAACGAACCTGTTTAAACGGCCCGGATTCTGCGATGCATGTGTTACTCCAGTGTCCACTTTACAGGCGTTTAATGTTGTCAGTTTTACCCTGGTTTTACTACAGCCCCTGACAAAGAAAAAGTTGAAATAAATTTGTATTCATGTCTTGCCCAAATATTATGAAAGCTTGTGCCCAAACCTTCAAGTATGTTTTATACTTTAGGAGTACGTGTGTATAGATAGTATGGGTGATTATATTGTGTATTATATTTTATACTAAATATTATATGTACATAATTACGTCTCTCGTAATCCCTCAAGGGATGGCTCAGTTATATCTTGTTGTATATATTGTTTTTATCTGTACCTGGGGTGAGACGAAAATAAAATATTCTGTCCGTCTGTCTGGTATTGCCCGCTATTCCGCCTGAGGAGCTACCCCAAGATGGACGGTTGCTGTGACACTGGCGTCCACTCTCCGCCCGCGAACATCCCACAGATGCTCATGTCAGGAGATGAAGTGGTTCAGTCCAATGCCTCCTCGTCGGGCGTGATTATTGACGACCTGGGCACGATGTCGTCTGGTATTATCATCTTGCAGTTCCAAATCTCTGCCGATAATATAAGAATGGTACAAAGACAGGACGCAGAATTTCGTCAACATATCGCTGGATCAATCCATTGTCCATTCACGATAACCAAATCTGTTCGCCTGTTGTTTGCTACCGCCCCATGTCATCACCCTACCGTCCCATACCGACCACGGTAAAGAATTGTTGCCCAAGAATACCGCTCGCCGCTACGTTTTCTGCCTTATGTGAATCGGAAGAAAAAACCTTGATCCGTCTTTGCTGCCTATGGTAGGCTGTTAGGGTCACACCTTTTACAGGACGCATCTCTTTCAGGCGGTGTTTTTACGATAGACGTTGAATTCAGACATTTGCCTTCCTGTTACTGCACGGGATTTTCAATTGATAACAGAAGCCGATTTGAATCTCTTGTGTTGTGGAAGAGTAGTATATTATCCTTCGGGCGAATGTATACATGACCCATCTTCTTTCTTAATACCATGAGATCCGTGAAGATCCGGGGTAGAATAAATCTTCACCAACCCATATATGCCGTAAAAGGCGACTATGCTTGTCGTAAAAGGCGACTAACGGGATCGGGTGGTCAGGCTCGCTGACTTGGTTGATGCATGTTATCGATCCCAATTGCGTGGATCGATGCTCATGATGTCAATCACTGGATTGTCTGGTCCAGACTCGATTATTTACAGACCGCCGTCATATAGCTGGAATATTGCTGAGTGCGGCGTAAAAATACAAACCAACCAACCAAATCTTAATACAATGAACTATACCAACTTATGTTTTTCGGCAAAGATGTTTCCTAATGTTTATGTAAAACATGTTAATTCTTAAGTAATTCATTCCAGTCTTCAACTACTGAAACCCTGTCACCCAATGTGCAAATTACATGGCAGACCTTATGATTTACATGTTGCTTTTGTACTACCGTGCTATATAAATCCCTTGTATGTATATATACTGTACTTGGCATTTATACCGCAATGAACTGACATTTATCAGGTAATCAACCGATGTTGGAAGGCAGTTGTAGGCCTTTTGAACAGATAGACATACATGTTAGTTAAACGTCAAATATCGGGACCATGAGTTTCGATGTTCATCAACATCAAATATCCAATTCCCTTCCAGTGAACAACCCACCTGAACTAGAAATATAATAGTCCAGTGAGGCCGCCTTATCTGTTTCATATTGAGATCCATGCATAAAGATTCAGAGTGACAAAACACTCTCCACAAGGCTGCATGACAAGAGGGATGACTTCAACTTTCCAATTGTCTACTTTCCCTTCATGTCGAGCAATATTCCAGCAGCTCCAGCCTTTGGTGTTTACATTTCACAACTTTTGAGATACAATCGAGAATGCTCTTTCTACCAAGATTTCAAAGAGAGTCCTACGAGTCTTGCTGAAAAGTTGTTTGATCAAGGTGACACCATTCAAGGCCTCAGTAAAGCTTCCAAAAACATTTATGGTAGACATGTTGAGGACATTTCCAAATTTGACGCATCAGTGACAAAAATGATGTCCGATGCTATTTTGACTTGTACCATATGTTCCCATGTTTTCAGATGAACAATTGACTTGCCTTTGCTTGTGTTTGTGATGGGTACCACCGCGGGACAGGATACGCTCACCTTTACTCGAACACCTGGTATCAGTACTATTTAATAGTGATTCTGGACACATGCGCATCATATAGTCGGAATTGAACCATCGACTCGGCTTTATGCAGATATCTCTATTGGATATGGAAAGGGTTTTGTCGTTTTATTACCATGATGGCTGCTGCAGTCAACGGTTATATCAAGGGAGCCTGTAAACAACCGTACCTGACTCCGACAAGCCAGTGACTGAATGCATTAGCAAGACTCAGTCGGCGGGGAACCACCACACGCATCCAGCTCTAATCTCCGAGACCATGTGGAACTACTATCTCCAAGGCTATGTCAAACTCAATCTCCAAGGCTATGCCAAACCCTATCGTCAAGGCTATGTCAAACCCAATCTCCAAGGCCATGCCAAACCCTATCCCCAAGGCTATGTCAAACCCAATCTCCAAGGCTATGTCAAACCCAATCTCCAAGGCTACGTCAAACCCAATCTCCAAGGCTATGTCAAACCCAATCTCCAAGGCTATGTCAAACCCAATCTCCAAGGCTATGTCAAACCAAATCTCCAAGGCTATGTCAAACCAAATCTCCAAGGCTACGTCAAACCCAATCTCTAAAGGCTATGTCAAACCCAGTCTCCAAGGCTATGTCACACCCAATCTCCAAGGCTACGCCAAACCCAATCTCCAAGGCTATGTCAAACCCAATGTCCAAGGATATGTCAAACCCAGTCTCCAAGGCTATGTCAAACCCAGTCTCCAAGGCTATGTCAAACCCAATCTCCAAGGCTATGTCAAACCCAGTCTCCAAGGCTATGTCAAACCCTATCTCCAAGGCTATGTCAAACCCAGTCTCCAAGGCTATGTCAAACCCAGTCTCCAAGGCTATGTCAAACCCAGTCTCCAAGGCTATGTCAAACCCTATCTCCAAGGCTATGTTAAACCCAGTCTCCAAGGCTATGTCAAACCCAGTCTCCAAGGCTATGTCAAACCCTATCTCCAAGGCTATGTCAAACCCAGTCTCCAAGGCTATGTCAAACCCAATCTCCAAGGCTATGCCAAACCCTATCTCCAAGGCTATGTCAAACCCTATCTCCAAGGCTCTGTCAAACCCAATCTCCCAGGCTATGTCAAACCCAGTCTCCAAGGCTATGTCAAACCCAGTCTCCAAGGCTATGTCAAACCCAGTCTCCAAGGCTATGTCAAACCCAGTCTCCAAGGCTATGTCACACCCTATCTCCAAGGCTATGTCAAACCCAATCTCCAAGGCTATGTCAAACCCAGTCTCCAAGGCTATGTCAAACCCAGTCTCCAAGGCTATGTCAAACCCTATCTCCAAGGCTATGTCAAACCCAGTCTCCAAGGCTATGTCAAACCCAGTCTCCAAGGCTATGTCACACCCTATCTCCAAGGCTATGTCAAACCCAATCTCCAAGGCTATGTCAAACCCAGTCTCCAAGGCTATGTCAAACCCAGTCTCCAAGGCTATGTCAAACCCAGTCTCCAAGGCTATGTCAAACCCACTCTCCAAGGCTATGTCAAACCCAGTCTCCAAGGCTATGTCACACCCAGTCTCCAAGGCTATGTCAAACCCAATCTCTAAGGCTATGTCAAACCCAGTCTCCAAGGCTATGTCAAACCCTATCTCCAAGGCTATGTCAAACCCAGTCTCCAAGGCTATGTCAAACCCAGTCTCCAAGGCTATGTCAAACCCAGTCTCCAAGGCTATGTCAAACCCTATCTCCAAGGCTATGTCAAACCCAGTCTCCAAGGCTATGTCAAACCCAGTCTCCAAGGCTATGTCACACCCTATCTCCAAGGCTATGTCAAACCCAATCTCCAAGGCTATGTCAAACCCAGTCTCCAAGGCTATGTCAAACCCAGTCTCCAAGGCTATGTCAAACCCAGTCTCCAAGGCTATGTCAAACCCAGTCTCCAAGGCTATGTCAAACCCAGTCTCCAAGGCTATGTCACACCCAGTCTCCAAGGCTATGTCAAACCCTATCTCCAAGGCTATGTCAAACCCAATCTCCAAGGCTATGTCAAACCCAGTCTCCAAGGCTATGTCAAACCCAGTCTCCAAGGCTATGTCAAACCCTATCTCCAAGGCTATGTCAAACCCTATCTCCAAGGCTATGTCAAACCCAGTCTCCAAGGCTATGTCAAACCCTATCTCCAAGGCTATGTCAAACCCTATCTCCAAGGCTATGTCAAACCCAATCTCCAAGGCTATGTCAAACCCTATCTCCAAGGCTATGTCAAACCCAGTCTCCAAGGCTATGTCAAACCCAATCTCCAAGGCTATGTCAAACCCTATCTCCAAGGCTATGTCAAACCCTATCTCCAAGGCTATGTCAAACCCTATCTCCAAGGCTATGTCAAACCCAGTCTCCAAGGCTATGTCAAACCCAGTCTCCAAGGCTATGTCAAACCCAGTCTCCAAGGCTATGTCAAACCCAGTCTCCAAGGCTATGTCAAACCCAGTCTCCAAGGCTATGTCAAACCCTATCTCCAAGGCTATGTCAAACCCTATCTCCAAGGCTATGTCAAACCCAGTCTTCAAGGCTATGTCAAACCCTATCTCCAAGGCTATGTCAAACCCTATCTCCAAGGCTATGTCAAACCCAATCTCCAAGGCTATGTCAAACCCAGTCTCCAAGGCTATGTCAAACCCAGTCTCCAAGGCTATGTCAAACCCTATCTCCAAGGCTATGTCAAACCCTATCTCCAAGGCTATGTCAAACCCAGTCTCCAAGGCTATGTCAAACCCTATCTCCAAGGCTATGTCAAACCCTATCTCCAAGGCTATGTCAAACCCTATCTCCAAGGCTATGTCAAACCCAGTCTCGTAGGCTATGTCAAACCCAGTCTCCAAGGCTATGTCAAACCCTATCTCCAAGGCTATGTCAAACCCAGTCTCCAAGGCTATGTCAAACCCTATCTCCAAGGCTATGTCAAACCCAGTCTCCAAGGCTATGTCAAACCCAGTCTCCAAGGCTATGTCAAACCCAGTCTCCAAGGCTATGTCAAACCCTATCTCCAAGGCTATGTCAAACCCTATCTCCAAGGCTATGTCAAACCCAGTCTCCAAGGCTATGTCAAACCCAGTCTCCAAGGCTATGTCAAACCCAGTCTCCAAGGCTATGTCAAACCCTATCTCCAAGGCTATGTCAAACCCAGTCTCCAAGGCTATGTCAAACCCTATCTCCAAGGCTATGTCAAACCCAGTCTCCAAGGCTATGTCAAACCCAGTCTCCAAGGCTATGTCAAACCCAGTCTCCAAGGCTATGTCAAACCCAGTCTCCAAGGCTATGTCAAACCCTATCTCCAAGGCTATGTCAAACCCAGTCCCCAAGGCTATGCCAAACTTGCATTAAATGATCAGTAATGTACTTACCCTATGTATTTACGTAAACGCAGCACCACCTGAAATGAAACGTCCTTACAACGTCATCGCCCAACACACGACACTACTATGGCCTACCGAGTAACACGCTGATGTGTATTTACGGCAGGGAATTAGGTTTGACACTGACTGTCTTATCTTAATTAGAAAAACCGCACTACCATTTAACATTTCCATCACCGAATAATTTTGAAAATATCCAAAAGCGCCGCGCAGACAATCGCTCCAAGGATCAGGATGGAACAAATTATTATGCTTGGTTTTGACACAAAGTGAAGATTTATTGTCATCCTACCGTTATGTCACATAAATCGGGTTGTCGGCCGTCTGAACCCTGCCCCCGGACGCCTCTGTAAATGTAGCTGTGATGCCTCGTGATGTGACTTACGACGGAAATGTCACAATAAACCCACATGCATGTATTAACAATACAGGTAGCATGATCTGTCGCAAGGTTGGGATCTGATACATAGAATAAGAGAATACAGAGAAACTCGCTCCCGTGTAAAGTTCGGGTATCTGACATGCGAAAAGATACCAGATGTATTCACTCGTTTTCATAAAACTGGTATTACACGGGAGCGAGTTTAGTATTTTAATTTATAGTTTTTCTGAATTTCACAAAGTATACAATCACGTCACAATACCCTATGACGTAATTTGTGGAATTTTGTTGCAAGATCCACCGGCGAAACAATACCATGTGACGTCAGCCTAGCAACAGGGCTGCTGGGTCATCGAGTGTGCATAAGCCCTCTCAGTGATTTATCTTCTCTATACGTAATATCGTTGAATAAGCCCAGGGATGTTGAGAGTTTTCAATATTTGTTCGTGAAACCTGTTCCCGCAGTACAAAAGCACGCGATTTGGTATTACAACATGTGTGTGTATATTGAACGGGTGATCTTTTCACGGGCAAGTAATAAATGAGAGTTTGTAACAGCTAGCTTCCCTAGACTATGACCATGTGGTTTGAGACATCGTCAGGTTATGTTTGGCCTGCTGTCTGGGGGCATGATTAGCTCCCGGGGGTGATTGTCCCACTGGTCTAGGCTCCATTGAACCGGCCCCTGACCCGCGTGGCCCACTGGTCTAGTCTCAATGATCCGGCCCCAGATCTGAGTGGCCCACTGGTCTAGTCTCAATGATCCGGCCCCAGATCTGAGTGGCCCACTGGTCTAGGCTCCATTGAACCGGCCCCTGACCCGCGTGGCCCACTGGTCTAGTCTCAATTATCAGGCCCCAGATCTGAGTGGCCCACTGGTCTAGTCTCAATGATCCGGCCCCAGATCTGAGTGGCCCACTGGTCTAGGCTCCATTGAACCGGCCCCTGACCCGCGTGGCCCACTGGTCTAGTCTCAATGATCCGGCCCCAGATCTGAGTGGCCCACTGGTCTAGGCTCCATTGAACCGGCCCCTGACCCGCGTGGCCCACTGGTCTAGTCTCAATGATCCGGCCCCAGATCTGAGTGGCCCACTGGTCTAGTCTCAATGATCCGGCCCCAGATCTGAGTGGCCCACTGGTCTAGGCTCCATTGAACCGGCCCCTGACCCGCGTGGCCCACTGGTCTAGTCTCAATTATCAGGCCCCAGATCTGAGTGGCCCACTGGTCTAGGCTCCATTGAACCGGCCCCTGACCCGCGTGGCCCACTGGTCTAGTCTCAATGTTCCGGCCCCAGATCTGAGTGGCCCACTGGTCTAGGCTCCATTGAACCGGCCCCTGACCCGCGTGGCCCACTGGTCTAGGCTCCATTGAACCGGCCCATGACCCGCGTGGCCCACTGGTCTAGTCTCAATGATCCGGCCCAAGATCTGAGTGGCCCACTGGGCCCCGTTCCTCAAAGCAATCTTAGCGCTAGGACTGTCGTAAGTCAGTGTTAAGGAATTGGAGTTACAATCACCCACTGGTCTAGTCTCAGGACTCACGTGGCCCACTGGTCTAGTCTCAGGACCCGCGTGGCCCACTGGTCTAGTCTCAGGACCCGCGTGGCCCACTGGTCCATGGTTCCAAGAGTCGGCAACCAGTCGGGCCAGCATTTGAATCATGTGCCCGAAGCCCACTTTCGCGAAGTTTGACTTGATTTGTCAGCAATAAACCCGTGCTGTGTTGTTTCACCCAGGTGACAAATATTCCCGACCATCGTCACTAAACCCCACCCATTTCGACGTTAAACCCATTTTACGCTTTCACACACTCACTCACTCGCTCAAATAAACTGGTTTTGTCGGAAGCAGTCATAAAATCTACAACATGTGCAAATTAGACCCGATTCACATGTTCAAGACTGACATCACTCCACGTGAGTGCTTCCACCGTATTTAGTTTCAGTTATTACTTTACCTACTTTATGCTACATTATTAAGCATACACAATATCTGCTGTGATGTGAAAGAAGTATACAAAGACTTCACAACTAGGATCGGCAACGCGGAGGAAAGTGATTGATGCGACCTGTTATATCTTTTCTTTCCAGATATTCATCAACAATGAATTTGTCAACTCTACAAGCGGCAAGATGTTCCAGGTCACTAACCCGGCCACGGAGGTAAAGATCGCGGACGTCCAGGCGGGAGACAAGGTGATCTTCTTTTTCTGTGTCTCTTATTAATAAGCGTTGAACATGTTTATCACGACGTGGAGTCATCCCACAGACGACATCCTTACCTAAAGGTAACCAGTTAGGTCACGTGGAGAAGGCATCCGACCTCAGATCAGAACATTCATGGTTCTACGGGTGTACACACTTTTATATACGTCTTTAGGGGTTCGAATCCCTCATCGCGAAACTCGGAAATGTTGTGGCCACTACATTGGTTCCCAACTGAGCACGTTTATATAACATTTCTTCAAAATACGTCTTATATTACTACCCGGGACGTACCTTCTGTCAGAAGGCTCGTGGTTCGAATCTCAGCATGGTATTCGGACATGATATGGCCGCTACACATGGCTGAATACACCTATAATACGAAATATCACATATGAAAGTTACATGCTGATATCTCAGGACGTTATTTGTTCTTTTTAATAAGCAAAGAATCTGTGTTTGAAACGAGGTCTGTAAGTCGGTAGGGGCGGTCGGGTAGCCTAGTGGTTAAAGAATTCGCTCGTCACTCCGAAGACCCGGGTTCGATTCCCGACATGGGTACAATGTGTGAAGCCCATTTCTGGTATCCCCCGCCGTGATATTCCTGGAATATTGCTAAAAGCGGCGTAAAACCATACTCACTCACGTACATTAGAGCCCCCTTCTGGCCTTTCAGTATTGGGTAGTTCCTTAAAATACGCACGACATATGCACACATAATCCTAGTCGATATTCCATAAGCCGCTGTTGACATGGTCGTTATTGCAACTGAGGGTTTTTTTCGATGTGCGTTTGAAATTATGATACATGTACCAGTCGATGTTTGATAGGCCGATGTTAACAAAGCCGTCGCTGCAGCTACAAGGGCGTTGGACTTCGACTCCCCATGGCAGAGTATGGACGCCAGCAAGAGGGGGCGTCTTCTTGATAAACTGGCTGACCTTATGGAGCGGGACACTGCCTATATTGCCGTAAGAAAATATAATGATGATAAACTGTCGTAACTTGTAAAGAGTACTATGTTTGTTTGTTGTTAAACGCCGCACTCAGCAATATTCCTGATATATGAAGGCGGTCTGTAAATAATCGAGTCTGGACCAAACAATCCAGTGATTGACATCATGAGCGTCGATCCATGTTATTGGGGCACGATGACATGTATCAACCAAGTCAGCAAGCCTGACCACCTGATCCCGTTAGTCACCTCTTACGACAAGCATAGTCGCCTTTTGTGGGAATCATGGGTTGCTGAAGACCTATTCTTACCCGGATCTTCAAGGGTCGATATTAAAGTCCTTTTACTTGAAATGAACCATTGACTGTTTTAGTATCGAGAGCGAGTTTGGTTTAACGCCACCGATTGCGAAATCGGGTCAATCGGAACCTCGTGAAGCCTCATCAATTAACGCTGCTTTGAACAGTTTTCTCAGTTATATTATGAAGTGTCACATTCACGGAGAAAGGAAGATTTGTGTATTGCTGTAGAAGTCATGACGTCAAAAACGTATCTGTACACAGTAATTGTTGGATTAATTGTATTAACGTTTTCATTGTTTGACTTATTGTATTAACGTTTTTATTGTTTGACTTAATGTTTTTATTGTTTGATACCCGTGTCAGAGCTTGGAGGTCATTACCTGCGGCAAGCCATACCGTGACGCCTTCTTCGTCGACGTTTTGAGCAGTGTGCGAGTACTACGGTATTTTGCAGGGTTTGCAGACAAGATTACTGGGAAGACGATACCGATAGGTAGGACATCTTGTTCCCCTTCCAACAGGACATGACAACAGGCAGACACTACCTTGTCTGTTTGAGACCGTTGGGTCCTGTGCTACCATAGTAGATATATTGTAAAATGCACATCAGTGTTGCAACAATGCATCTATTCACAAATATATATAAGATACGCTATAAATCGCAAAGAACAATGACGAACGAAGCGTTGTTTATTTCACGATGAAACATCGTTCTATCATGACGTCATTTCTGAAGATTCCAATATGCTCTCGCAACTTGCCGACGTCATATATTAGACGGCGTTATTTTGGAGTGGGAAGTGTCCAGCGAGTTGTTCTCTACATGTGTAGCTGGGCTATCCTGATTAAAGCAGTGGCCGTACAATCGCATCCAGAAGTGGGAGAGATGTGACAATCGGTATGAGGAGAAAAGATACAGATAGTTGACGTGAGGAACGTGAGATTGTGCGGGAAATACCAAACTTAACCCACCTGTTCGTAAAATGAGCTTGTCCGACATTTCCGAGGTCGGATTCTATTCATGGTGTCATCATTATTACAATTTGAGTTAATATTTTTAAAGCTTGTATATTTTATGAACATCCTCAAAGAGGCTGTACATAATGTTGATATCTTATCTAAGGAATAATTGACGAGTGGTTTATTTCTTAAGTATGCACCCATGTGCATTTAATGTGCATTTAATGTGCATTTAACATGAAGTGTTTGAAATTCCGCTGTTCTTTTAGTTGTCCATGCTGTAAAGGTTAATACGTGTATATGGGCCCTGATATATGATCCAGGGTGCTTCTGTCTTTGGTTCACAAAATATATTGTTGTATTCATGTCGCAGTAAAAATATAAACAATGTTTCGCCATTACCTATGACACGCTGTCCCCCCACCTTCATTTATCTTCCGCATGGCTAAACTTGCAATGTAATAAACCTGGATCCGCTTCACAAAGCGATCTCTGCACTGAGACCATCACATCAGTCTCTCAACCAGACCCCGAAACAAATATATCGTATATAAACCATGCAAGTCTATAATATTTGGCAAGTCTAGATTACTGTAGTGTCAGGCAAATGAAGAAAGTTTCTCATTATTATAAATTTATTTTATAACTATAATTTAACAGCTGTTTTTTTATCCGTAAAATATGTTAATTTCAGAGACTGTATGTTAGTCTAACGACCACCCCGCACTTTAACATAAACTTACGACAGGCTTAGCACTAAGATCGCTTTGTGAAATTGGGCCCATACGTGTATGGTGTTTCATCAGAATGTGTGTAATCTGCATCTTTCAGATGGGGAATACTTCTGTTACACACGGCATGAACCTATTGGAGTCGTTGGACAAATCATACCGGTAAATTATCTGTATATATTACTGAGGACGGACTAAATGGCATACTTGTACACTGTTATTGTTTGACTAATTGTATTTACTTTACGTTTCATTGTTTGATACCCAGTCATACATAAATGAGTTATGTGAGTTACGAGTTATAACACTATAACTCATAACTATTGCTCCTTACTTGTAGACAACACTAGTAGTACCAGATGGGAACGTGCTGGTCACGAAGACAATGAAACATTATACCATCAAATGCAGATAAATTGATAATTGACTTGAAGAAGGTTTCAGTTTAATTTGAGGTGACGTGTTTTCAGTGGAACTTCCCTATACCGATGATGATATACAAGATCGCCCCCGCGTTGGCGTGTGGGAACACGGTGGTGCTGAAGCCAGCGGAACAGACGCCCCTGTCAGCGCTCTACATAGCAGACCTCATCAAGGAGGTAAGGGGTATTATAAGACAATAGGACACTGCATTGTTCCCGTTATATGACAGAAGGGCACTGCATTGTTCCCGTTATAAGACAGTAGGACAATGCATCGTTCCCATTATAAGACAGTAGGACAATGCATCGTTACCGTTATACAACAGTAGGGCACTGCATCGTTACCGTTATACAACAGTAGGACACTGCATTGTTCCCATTGTAAGACAGTTTGGCACTGCATCGTTACCGTTATACAACAGTAGGACACTGCATTGTTCCCGTTATAAGACAGTAGGACACTGCATTGTTCCCGTTATAAGACAGTAAGGCACTGCAACGTTACCGTTATACAACAGTAGGACACTGCATTGTTCCCGTTATTTGACTGTTGGACACTGCTTTGTTCCCGTTATATGAAGTAGGGCAGTGCATTGTTCCCATTGTAAGACAGTTTGGCACTGCATCGTTACCGTTATACAACAGTAGGACACTGCATCGTTACCGTTATACAACAGTAGGACACTGCATTGTTCCCATTGTAAGACAGTTTGGCACTGCATCGTTACCGTTATACAACAGTAGGACTATGCATTGTTCCCATTATAAGACAGTAGGGTACTGCATCGTTACCGTTATACAACAGTAGGACACTGCATTGTTCCCATTATTTGACTGTTGGACACTGCTTTGTTTCCGTTATAAGACAGTAGGACACTGTATTGTTCCCATTGTAAGACAGTAGGACACTGCATTGTTCCCATTGTAAGACAGTTTGGCACTGCATCGTTACCGTTATACAACAGTAGGACACTGCATCGTTACCGTTATGCAACAGTAGGACTATGCATTGTTCCCATTATAAGACAGTAGGGCACTGCATCATTACCGTTATACAACAGTAGGACACTGCATTGTTCCCATTATAAGACAGTAGGACACTGCATTGTTACCGTTATAAGACAGTAGGGCACTGCATTGTTCCCATTATAAGACAGTAGGGCACTGCATCGTTACCGTTATACAACAGTAGGACACTGCATCGTTACCGTTATACAACAGTAGGGCACTGCATTGTTCCCGTTATAAGACAGAAGGACACTGCATTGTTCCCGTTATTTGACTGTTGGACGCTGCATTGTTCCCGATATTTGACAGAAGGATACTGCATTGTTCCCGTTATATGACAGTAGGACACTGCATTGTTCCCATTATTTGACTGTTGGACACTGCATTGTTCCCGTTATCTGACAGTAGGGCACTGCATTGTTCCCGTTTTACCACAGTAGGGCACTGCCTTCATCCCGTTATACCACAGTAGGACACGGCATTGTTCCCGTTATACCACAGTAGGGCACTGCATTGTTCCCGTTATACCACAGTAGGGCACTGCATTTTCCCCGTTATACCACAGAAGGACACTGCATTGTTCCCGTTATATGACAGTAGGTCACTGCTTTAATTGACTTCGGTGTGACGAACGTTGCATACACCACCAAATAAGAGCTTCAGTGCAACCTACACAGATATTGTGAAACTCGGGGCCGACATGTCGTGGTGGAAGACGTACCGGAAACTGTTCACTCTTGTGTACAGCCATTGTGTGTTTAGTGAATTGGAATCAAGAGCCAAGTAAGTTCTATAGCTGACCGACAGGAAACGTGTCTCGACTGGGAAGACGGAACTCCCCTTGCAAATGGTACAAAGTACCTTATTTCATCATATAAACGTGGGGTTGAATTAGTAAAACAAGTTGATCGCTGTAAACGTTGGATAAATATACACGCACAATTGGAAATATGTGTGTTGCAATACACACTAGCCAAGACAGATTAGCTACAGTGATATCAAAACATCAGGTTTTCTTTAACTTCAATTGAGTAGTATATGACTAGGTCCCTTTAACGGTACACGTTTCCTATTAATAATTTGATAAACACTTACTCACGAGTCGCATGAAATAATACACACCGAGGGCCGACAAGACATACAGCCACTTTGTATACATTACTTAATGAAATCCATGGACGTATGATTGAATAAATTCCATACAAAGGTTTGACCTTTGCCCTCTAGGCCGGGTTCCCGCCTGGCGTCGTCAACGTCGTTCCTGGGTTCGGCCCCACCGCGGGCGCTGCCATCGCCTCCCACCCCGGCGTCGACAAGGTGTGCTTCACGGGGTCTGTTGAGGTGAGAAGATGGAGCACACACTGCCCAGTAACAACCACGACGCTTCAAACCCGTTCTGTTGAGACTGACCCCAATAGGCCCTAGATACACCGAGATCTAGACTAACATTTAGTCTCTGAAATCTTATATTACACAATATCCTTCTTGACTCTAAAAAAATAAATAATTCCCTATGCTGTGGAATAGAGCTAGCTTGAGCTGGCTAGACTTGCTTTTGTATGCATTTCTAGATTATTTTATTTTCATAAAATAAATATATTCCACGGTCATGGTGCAGGACTAGCAGAGATCGTGCATAGCGAATTGTCATTAGGGTCGACCATTCCAAAAGGAAATTGATCCCGACAATAAATATCATTCTTGAAATAAATTATATATCAAACTGTTGAAAAAAGAGAAATTGCTTTTCACAAAAAATGCGTTGTTGCGAATTGATTTTCTTTAAATTTAATTCAGGCTCATAGTTTTAAAGAAAACAAATATCTGGGTTTGAAGCTGAATATCTAACCTCTATACAAAGTCCCATATATATATATATATATACGAATATATATTCGTCAGCTGAATAGAGTTTAAAAAAAATAATTAATCATTATTTGTAACATCTCAATTATTAATCAGTCACAAACACTAATAACACGTAAAAAGATATCGCCATTTCAATAATAAAGTCAACTTTAGTTAGATTTAACTCGGTCAGATTCATCATTGGCCCTCCCTATGCTTGTTGGTGATGTAGATATGTGTAGCCGTCGCATAAGAGCAAAATGAAGACTTTTACACGATCAGATTGGCCGTCAAGTGATGAAGATGGCTGCCGACTCGAACCTGAAGCGCCTGAATCTGGAGCTTGGAGGCAAGAGCCCAATAGTAGTGTTTGAAGACGCGGATAGTGAGTAGACAGATGTTTAGTGAGTGAACGAGTATGGTTTTACGCCGCTTTTAGCAATATTCCAGCAATATCACGGCGGGGGACACCAGAAATGGGCTTCACACATTGTGCCCATGTCGGGAATCGGGATGTTTAGTCACAAGACTTGAATAGTGAATAGACACGTGTTTAGCTAGAACATTGGGATTATGTGTTGGCAAGTGTTTAGCTAGAATACCCATAAAAAATTCAGATAGTGAGTAGACACATGTTCAGATGTGACCAGCTTGAATCCCCAACCAACCGAAATTGATTGGAACTTGGTCAGGAACAGAAAGTTCAGCAGTGTTGTCACTTCTGTTTCAACAGTGGACTACTCCATTGAGAAATGCCATCACGCGTTGTTCTTTAACGCCGGCCAGTGTTGCATGGCAGGGTCAAGGACGTACGTACACGAGGACATCTATGACACGTTCGTGCAGCGGAGTGTGGATAGAGCCAACATAAGGATAGTCGGAGACCCGATGGACACGGCCACAGAATCTGGACCACAGGTAGGCGGGGGAGAGGTGGAGACCTTAAAGACACGACCACAGAATCTTGACCACAGGTCCATCAATGTCACCATCCCCAACTATGTCACATCCCCATCTATGTCACCGTCACCATCTATGTCACCATCTGTCACCATCCCCATCTGTCACCATCCCCATCTATGTCACCATCCCCATCTATATCACCATCACCATCTATGTCACCATCCCCATCTATGTCACCATCCCCATCTATGTCACATCCTCAACTATGCCACCATCCCCATCTATATCACCATCCCAATCTATATCACCATCTCCATCTATGTCACCATCCCGATCTATGTCACCATCCCCATCTATGTCACCATCCCAATCTATATCACCATCTCCATCTATGTCACCATCCCCATCTATATCACCATCCCCATCTATATCACCATCCCCATCTATGTCACATCCCCATCTATGTCACATCCCTATCTATGTCACCATCCCCATCTATGTCACCATCCCCATCTATGTCACCATCCCCATCTATATCACCATCCCAATCTATATCACCATCTCCATCTATGTCACCATCCCCATCTATGCCACCATCCCCATCTATATCACCATCCCAATCTATATCACCATCTCCATCTATGTCACATCCCCATCTATATCACCATCCCCATCTATATCACCATCCCCATCTATGTCACATCCCCATCTATGTCACCATCCCTATCTATGTCACCATTCCCATCTATGTCACAATCCCCATCTATATCCCCATCCCCATCTATGTCACCATCCCCATCTATGTCACATCCCCATCTATTTCACAATCCCCATCTATATCACCATCCCCATCTATGTCACATCCCTATCTATTTCACAATCCCCATCTATATCACCATCCCCATCTATGTCACATCCCTATCTATGTCACCATCCCCATCTATGTCACATCCCCATCCCCATCTATATCACATCCCCATCTATGTCACATCCCCATCCCCATCTATATCACATCCCTATCTATGTCACATCCCCATCCCCATCTATATCACATCCCTATCTATGTCACATCCCCATCTATGTCACAATCCCCATCTATATCACATCCCCATCTATATCACATCCACATCTATATCACATCCCTATCTATGTCACATCCACATCCCCATCTATATCACATCCCCATCTATGTCACATCCCCATCCCCATCTATATCACATCCCTATCTATGTCACATCCCCATCTATGTCACAATCCCCATCTATATCACATCCCCATCTATATCACATCCCCATCTATATCACATCCCTATCTATGTCACATCCCCATCTATGTCACAATCCCCATCTATATCACCATCACCATCTATGTCACATCCCCATCTATGTCACAATCACCATCTATGTCACCATCACCATCTATGTCACCATCCCCATCTATGTTACCATCCCCATCTATGTCACAATCCCCTTCTATGTCACAATCACCATCTATGTCCCCATCCCCATCTATGTCACCATCCCCATCTATGTCACAATCCCCATCTGTGTCACCATCCCTATCTATGTCACAATCCCGGTCTATGTTACCATCCCCATCTATGTCACCATCCCCATCTGTGTCACCATCCCCATCTATGTCACCATCCCCATCTATGTTACCATCCCCATCTATGTTACCATCCCCTTCTATGTCACGATCCCCATCTGTGTCACCATCCCCATCTATGTCACCATCCCCATCTATGTCACAATCCCCATCTATGTCACCATCACCATCTATGTTACCATCCCCATCTATGTCACAATCCCCATCTGTGTCACCATCTCCATCTATGTCACAATCACCATCTATGTCACCATCCCCATCTATGTCACAATCCCCATCTATGTTACCATCCCCATCTATGTCACAATCCCCATCTGTGTCACCATCTCCATCTATGTCACAATCACCATCTATGTCACCATCCCCATCTATGTCACAATCCCCATCTATGTCACCATCTCCATCTATGTTACCATCCCCATCTATGTCACAATCCCCATCTGTGTCACCATCTCCATCTATGTCACAATCACCATCTATGTCACCATCACCATCTATGTCACAATCCCCTTCTATGTCACCATCACCATCTATGTCACATCCCCATCTATGTCACCATCCCCATCTATGTCACCATCACCATCTATGTCACAATCCCCATCTGTGTCACATCCCCATCTATGTCACAATCCCCATATATGTCACCATCACCATCTATGTCACAATCCCCATCTGTGTCACCATCACCATCTATGTCACAATCCCCTTCTATGTCACCATCACCATCTATGTCACATCCCCATCTATGTCACCATCACCATCTATGTCACATCCCCATCTATGTCACCATCACCATCTATGTCACAATCCCCATCTATATCACCATCCCCATCTATGTCACCATCACCATCTATGTCACAATCCCCATCTATATCACCATCCCCATCTATGTCACCATCCCCATCTGTGTCACCATCTCCATCTATGTCACAATCCCCATCTATGTCACCATCACCATCTATGTCACAATCCCCATCTATATCACCATCCCAATCTATATCACCATCCCCATCTATGCCACTATCCCCATCTATATCACCATCCCCATCTATTTCACCATCCCCATCTATGCCACTATCCCCATCTATGTCACCATCCCCATCTATATCACGTCCCCATCTATGCCACTATCCCCATCTATGTCACCATCCCCATCTATATCACGTCCCCATCTATGTCACCATCACCATCTATATCACGTCCCCATCTATGTCACCATCCCCATCCATGTTACCATCCCAATCTATATCACCATCCCCATCTATATCACCATCCCCATCTATGCCACTATCCCCATCTATATCACCATCCCCATCTATTTCACCATCCCCATCTATGCCACTATCCCCATCTATGTCACCATCCCCATCTATTTCACCATCCCCATCTATTTCACCATCCCCATCTATGCCACTATCCCCATCTATGTCACCATCACCATCTATGTCACCATCCCCATCTATGTCACCATCCCCATCTATGTCACATCCCCATCTATGTTACCATCCCCATCTATGTCACCATCACCATCTATGTCACCATCCCCATCTATGTCACCATCACCATCTATGTCACCATCCCCATCTATGTCACCATCCCCATCTATATCACATCCCCATCTATGTTACCATCCCCATCTATGTCACATCCCCATCCATGTCACCATCCCGAACTATGTCCCCATCCCCATCTATATCACCATCCCCATCTATGTCACTATCCCCATCTTTGTCACCATCCCTATCTATGTCACCATCACCATCTGTCACCATCCCATCTATGTCACCCTCCCTATCTATGTCACCATCCCCATCTATGTCACCATCCCATCTATGTCACTATCCCCATCTATGTCACATCCCCATCTATGTCACCATCCCCACCAACAGAAGAGCAAAGTCCAGCATATTAAAATAGATTTAGAAATTGACGTGACTTTCTCTTGATCACAATACGCCTCATGACGACATCAAGCTACGTCAGTCGGCCTTAACAAGACGTTTGCTGTGTACACTTGTAACATTGGCAGAGATTGCTCTAAATTCATGAAGACCTCATCTGCACAATAACTTTTCAGCTATCAATAGATGAGAATGATACTATTTGTACATGCATTCAACACCAAAGATTGGCATTTCTCTTGCATTGTAAGTAATGTTATTTATACACGTTAAAAACCCGCTGTGATATTGCTAAAAGCGGCGTAAAACCATACTCACTCACTATTGTCACAGTTGGACCACGCCCAGTTTAAGAAGATTTTGGCTATGATAGAGTCCGGCGTGGAGGACGGCGCCACGCTCCGGTGTGGAGGCCAGCGGCACGGGGACATCGGCTACTTCATCAAACCTACCGTCTTCTCTGATGTCACAGAGGACATGCGCATTGGCAGGGAAGAGGTGTGTTATCAATTTCAGTTTAGTTTCAAAGAAACCACCACCGGTGAGCATGAACATATACAGATATATACTCACCAAAAAAAGAAATGCGTACCATAAACATACAGAGAAGTAAGTACGTTAAGAAGAGATGTTTCCAATGTGTACCAGTTAATGACAAATCTAACAATCATTCAAGTGTTACCACAGAGTGTGTTCATTCTTATCACGATATGCTGCAAGTAATTTCCGAACTTTTAACGCTTATCCCGCACGTGACAAATGGTGCATCTCGTGCCATGGATCTAGGATTTCACGTGTGATGCGCCATGAGCGTCGGTTCACACAACATAACCGTATGTTCGTTTGTGCATCGAACAAACTAATATCTTTTGAATATGAGTAAGTCTTCATATATTTATTAACATGTAAAATATTCGCGTTTCTCTTGGCGGTGACTATTTTTATGAAAATACAAAAAATATCAGCATGACGATTGACAAGGTCAGCGGTTCTTTCTTAAATTAAATTGACATACAATAGATCTGGACAAGTTTCTTATATCTTTTAGCCTTTTTGGTGATACAATACTACAGAATTTAAAAGTATTTGGCCGTAAGAAGTATTTTTTTAAATATGCGGAGTTCCGTTTCGGATCCAAGCTTCTCATCTGAAAAAATATCAAAAGAAACGTCCCCGTGGCTAGACATATGAGAAACCAAACACTGTAAACATACTTTGAGACACATTAAAAAGACGAAACTTGGCAAAACTGATCATCAACGTTGTAATTAAAGTGTCAAATTTCTTAAAGTGAAACACAACACTAAACATGAGAAAATGGCATCAAAAGTCAGTATCTCGTGTGTAGCCATGTGCATTGATGGCTACCGTGGAATGGATGAGGCGGTTGATGAAGGCCATAGGCCTGACGCAGTTCAGCTGCAGTTGTCGGCTTAGGTCGGACGACATTCAGCCGTCTTTGAATCTCGTCCCGCAGGTGCTCAATGGGATTTAAATCGGGACTGAGGGCAGGCCACTCCATGGTTCTGATGCCATTCTGCTGTAGGAAGTCACTTGTTGCTCTCGCAGTGTGGGCACGGGCGTTATCATGCTGAAACTCGTGGTTGCGGCGACGTGCCAAATGAGGTATGGCGTGTGGTCTCAAGATTTCATCAACGTACCGAACTGCTGTAACACCATTGCCTCTCCCTGGACTGATGTTCTGGAAGACCACAGGGCCGACCCTCTGTGCAAGACCAACTCCACCCCAAACCATGATGCTCGGACCACCCCACGAGTCTCTCTCAACAACACAAGCATCCAAATAACGTTCCCCACGGCATCGCCAGACTCTCTCTGCCATCTGCTGTTGAGTTACACTAACGGCTCTCGTCTGAGAAGAGGACTCTTCTCCACTGCTGGTGGCGCCAATGCTGGTGCTGTGTAGCCCACTGAAGACGGTCCCGGTGATGACGTGATGTCAGAATGTGTCCTCGGTGTGCCCTGTGACAGTAGAGGTGTCTGCTCGTCAATCATTGACGCACAGTGTCCGCACGAATGTGTCGCTGGTGTGTCCCCATGGTCTGTCGAGCAGTTTCCGCAGCAGTAACAAAGCGATCTTGAAGATGCTGTCGCACAATCTGACGATACTGACGTCGGGTGGTGACCCTTGGTCTTCCATTACGTGGTCGGTCATCTGTAGTGTTGGTGGTCTGGTGCCATTGCTGGAGCCTGTATATGGTCCTGTTACGTGGACTTGAAATACATTGGCTACTTGCCGGACGGTTTGTCCAGCTTGCAATCATCCAAAGGCTTGGTGTTGCTGATTTCTTGTCAATCTTGGCATGTGATATCAAGTCAATAACGAATTAATGTTATCCGATCTTGGTGGATTTTTATAGGGCAAGAAATGGGGGAACGCATGTGCATTTCAATTTGCACGGAACTCACGTACATCGGGTTACCATGGCCGTTGCCGTGATGTGTTTGGGCGATCGGTTTGTCATCTGCTTTGATTTTTTATTATCAAATTTCATTTTGTCCGGACATGGTAATGTTAAATTTGAGAAACTTTGACAAAAGTTACCTAGATATTTAAATGACAACTTTTGCGGTTCAGTATGTACTACTGAGTTGTCAAATTCTTTCTTCTCTTGGTATATTCTGCTATCGACCAGTCTCAAGGGCAAGTTATGATTTGAAGTATGAAATTTTAATATCGGCATGTACTTGCTTTTAGGGAGTAACAGATAATGTTCAAACTTTGATGTTTGCTTATAGTGTTTGTAATATAAATCCTTTGGACTCAACTCCACACTTACCGTCCACTTTTGAATAAACTGATCCTTACGTATGTGTTCGACCTTTGAGTGTAGCCAATTTCTGCATCGGATGTATGGTTTATCAAATATTTCGGTTAGTCCAACATCATGTAGTACCTTTTGATCACATCAATCCATCTTGAGCAATGAAAGACCTCTGATTTAGCTGATAATCATGTGGTTGTTTTCACAATCATTTTTTGTATGTTTTGATAGATATTTGGACCGGTACAATGCATAATCAAATTCAAAACTCTGGAAGAAGTAATCACGAGAGCCAATTCTTCCGATTACGGCATTGCTGCCGCCATATTCACCTCTGACATCGACAAGGTCATGCTCTTCACCAGCAGGGTCAAGGCCGGAACAGTGTGGTAGGCTAAATCTTTAACACTTCTTAATACTATTTGTAATAATTATAATGCCATTTGTAATCATTGATACATCATGATGCCAGAAATTAACTACAATGAACCACGAGCTTACAACGATATTCACGTTGAAAATGAGCTCATCGCGTCACGCGGGGACTCATTGGGGACGCAAGATCATCACGAGTATAACTTCGGGTCGCGTCCCTCGTCAGCAATCAGTGTTTCAGAATAGTCCAGCGTGTTTCAGATTTCAACATCAGTTTGCAGCAAGTGTCAAGGTTTTCAATGTTTTAATATCACTACCCCAACTAGAAGGAAGCTGGAATGGGTCTGGGCAAAGACAGTGGCTGAGGAGGAATCCCAAGAAGGTGAAGGTCACGTCACCCAAGCAAAGCCAGGATCAGGCGGAGGACCAGCCTCAGTCAATCAGTCCCCTTTTGGAGAGATCACCTACAACACCCACACAAAGCCATGACGAGGCGGAGGACCAGCCCCAGTAAATCAGTCCCCTTTTGGAGAGATCACCTACAACTACCACGCAGAGCCATGACGAGGCGGAGGACCAGCCCCAGTCAATCATTCCCCTTTTGGAGAGATCACCTACAACTACCAGACAGAGCCATGACGAGGCGGAGGACCAGCCCCAGTCAATCAGTCCCCTTTTGGAGAGATCACCTACAACACCCACACAGAGCCATGACGAGGCGGAGGACCAGCCCCAGTCAATCAGTCCCCTTTTGGAGAGATCACCTACAACTACCACACAGAGCCATGACGAGGCGGAGGACCAGCCCCAGTCAATCAGTCCCCTTTTGGAGAGATCACCTACAACACCCACACAGAGCCATGACGAGGCGGAGGACCAGCCCCAGTCAATCAGTCCCCTTTTGGAGAGATCACCTACAACTACCACACAGAGCCATGACGAGGCGGAGGACCAGCCCCAGTAAATCAGTCCCCTTTTGGAGTGATCACCTACAACTACCAGACAGAGCCATGACGAGGCGGAGGACCAGCCTCAGTCAATCAGTCCCCTTTTGGAGAGATCACCTACAACACCCACACAGAGCCATGACGAGGCGGAGGACCAGCCCCAGTCAATCAGTCCCCTTTTGGAGAGATCACCTACAACACCCACACAGAGCCATGACGAGGCGGAGGACCAGCCTCAGTCAATCAGTCCCCTTTTGGAGAGATCACCTACAACACCCACACAGAGCCATGACGAGGCGGAGGACCAGCCCCAGTCAATCAGTCCCCTTTTGGAGAGATCACCTACAACACCCACACAGAGCCATGACGAGGCGGAGGACCAGCCATAGACCCTCAGGAGGAACTTGAGGAGGCAGACCTGTATAATAAGCCCCCAATCCATCATCCGGACTCCCAAGAAGTTCCCGGGCACCCCCTTCAACCCCGAACAGGACAAAGAGCTGAACCCGTACTCGAGGGCCTTGTAGAAGTTGCCTGTCGGCAGGTAGCAGAGAAAGATCACCAGGCGTAGAGCTGGTCCGTGTGGTTCCCTAATGAAGGTCACCTGCCTCTCTATCCCTGGACCGACCCGACCCAGAAGCTCCAGGAACAACTACGGGTCCATCCACAGGAAGTTCTGGAACCCTGTCCTGTCCTCTCGTGCAAGCTCCTGCAGCAAGGTGTCGGAGAAGCCAAGTCCTCAACCAAACCTTGCGCTGGACTTGACCCCGGCGTCGTCCTCCTCTTCCCTTGGCTTACGTCTGCGGACAACTAAGATGGTGGCCGCAACCAACCCAACCACATATCGTCTGTACTGGAAATCGACAGTCAGCTGCTGGTGTGCCATGTTGCTGCGATAAGCACTGTGTGTTGTTTATGCTGCGAATACCAATAAAACGCGCCAAAATTCGGTCCTATTCTGGTTGCGGTTTTGTCGTGTTGTCATCATGATAAACTCGTAGAGGTCGTGTTAAGGTCGTACTAAGCTCGTAACTGACTCGTACTCACCACGTACGAACCTAGTCGATATCGTGAACACATCGGTATGATGTCGTAATGACATCGCACGAACATCATACAAAACTCGGGATGTGGGCGGGTGGCATCAGTTTGTCAGCTTCTTCCACGTGCTGACATGGGTTTCACCAAAATGGTAAACGTCTGAGACTTGTATCACTCCGGGCTTTCCTCCCACATGAGGCTGACACGCCGTGATATAACTGGAATATTGTTCAAAGCGGCGTTTAACGTCACTCACTCACAACTGTAATCACGACTACGACATGACGTCATTATGTAATCATTCTTGTGTACCTGGCTCCTCTGTGTACAAAGCGAGCCAGTCGTGCAGGCCCTGCTCTCCGTGTAGGTCTCGACAGTAACTCGAATAACATTTGCCAGAACCTAGCTGCCCTTTAAATAGCCAAAATTCGGCGCTCGTTGAAGTGTGCAATAAGCCGTTATCAAAGCATCAGACCCGTGAAGATCTGGGTTAGAATAGGTCTTCAGCAACAATGCTTGTCGTAAGAGGCGACTAACGGGATAGGGTGGTCAGGCTCGCTGACTTAGATGATGCATGTCATCGTATCGCAATTGCGTGGATCGATACGCATGATATCAATAGCGTTAAACAACAAACAAACAAACAAAACATGGTATATAAGCCTTATTGTGTTATTGTGAATCAGTGGTTCCCCATATCATGACCGAGAAATTTAGGTACATTATGATTTACTATTCGTTTTATTATACCATTTGAGTTTGTTATATCCGTGCATGTGCATTATCAGTTGTTGTAGAGGGCCACAGGAGTTCGATATATCAGGACTGGGTTGTAAGTATGCATAATCAACGTAGGATCAGCGTAGTTCGATACATCCAGACTATCTGTAGTAGCGTGGTACATGAATTAACCACCAGCTCGTTTCCTCCAGGGTAAACTGCTACAACTGGCTGACACCACAGACTTCGTTTGGAGGCGTGAAACAGTCGGGCATCGGCAGAGAGCTGTAAGTACTTCACAACAACACGCCTAACCCCATCTTCACGTCACAACAACACGCCTAACCCCATCTTCACGTCACAACAACACGCCTAACCACATCTTCAAGTCACAACAACACGCCTAACCCCATCTTCACGTCACAACAACACGCCTAACCCCATCTTCACGTCACAACAACACGCCTAACCCCATCTTCACGTCACAACAACACGCCTAACCCCATCTTCACGTCACAACAACATGCCTAACCCCATCTTCACGTCACAACAACACGCCTAACCCCATCTTCACGTCACAACAACATGCCTAACCCCATCTTCACGTCACAACAACACGCCTAACCCCATCTTCACGTCACAACAACACGCCTAACCCCATCTTCACTTCACAACAACACGCCTAACCCCATCTTCACGTCACAACAACACGCCTAACCCCATCTTCACGTCACAACAACACGCCTAACCCCATCTTCACTTCACAACAACACGCCTAACCCCATCTTCACGAGGCAAGGCTTTGCAAAGCATACATCTATGTACCGCAAACACGGAGTCAACGGATATTTTCCATGTTTTTAATCAAGGTGCTCATGTGATTTGATGCACTTCGCGCAGGATGACCCGTTTTATCACAATTTAGATTTTGATTATCAATCAGATCGTCTTGACTGGGCGCCGCCACGTCGTTTGAAGCAAAAGCAAGTTATATGAGAGGTGGAATCTTATTGGTCAATAGGGACACAGAGGGACATACCACCTGAAAGCCATTGGTGGCGCTACGATCGAGCCCAGACATTCAAGCCTTGCTCGACAAGGATAGAAACTGGACTTAACAGTCAGTTAACTCCCTTGCTAGGGAAGATGGTCCGAACCTTACAGTCGCTTCTTTGCTAAGTTTTTTTACACACAATATCTATCCTCGCTTCGCGGAAAGGTGGAAGACGGCTCGTGTTAGTTCGCATCGTAAACACTTTTGTATAAGCATAACGTCGGTAATCTATATTGCGTCCCAGGGGACCAAATACACGTGGGTAGATTTATGGGAGAAAACATAAAAATACCATCCACACACATTATTACGTGCATATAGGAAGGAGAATAGGTCATTCATTAACACTGATTACGTGGAATGATATTTCAGTGGTGGCTCTGTTGCTGAACACGGTAGCGCATCTGAGTCGACCTTCAATGACCAGTTTTTCACATTTTGAGATTTAGTAACCTTCCATAAGATATGTCCTCTCCTTGAGATAACTCCAAAGCAAACTTATCATAGAAGGAATAACACTGATAATAATATTACCATAACAGACTGCTTCATCTTCGATGGCTTATGTTTTAGGAATTACGCCAAGGAATTTCCACTTAGTCTTATATTAATATGATACAGCATGTCATCCATTTCGTTGAATTCTTGCAAACAGTGAGTTCACAATACGAAGGCGTTCAGTCTTGAATGTCCGACACCAACAGAGCAGAGGCGTTGAAGAGTTGCGCCCCTTGACATGATCAATTGGTCGATGGTTTCAAATCCCAGTTTCGTCTCGACTCTGGTTCTTGGTTTGCCAGCACAATATCCTCGCTCGTAGTTTTACCAAAGTCGTTCAAGACACCACGATAACACGCTGTGCATATAACTGAAATACTGTTCAAAATGGCCTTGAAGCCAACATGTGCTACTGATATATGAGCATGTTTGTCTGAAAACATCACGGAGTATAGTTTACATGTTTCAGGGGAGAGAGTGCCATCAACGAGTACACAGAAGTGAAAACGGTGAGACATGTCACACAAGTCAGTTAATGATATATACTCTTCAAAACAGAAACTTGACATAGATGTAAAACCACTTTTAGCTTTAGCCAAATATCTAAAATGTTTGTCAGGAGTTCTTACAGCACAACAACATCCAGACATTACCTTGGCAAGCCCGGTCACCAGATTTGTCCCCGTTTGAGCATCTGTGGGCGAGTTGGATCGACGCGTTCGCAGAAGGAATCCACCGCGCCAAACACTTCCGGCGCTTCTTGATGCACTGTAGCATGAATGGCAGCACATCCAACAGTGACATTAACTGTATCGTGTACGTGTGTCTGTCTAGGTGACACGATTAATGTTTTGAACATTGTGTACATTGATCTTCAAACAGTGTTTCAATTATAGTTTCTGTGTCCTATTTTGAAACAATCGCATTATATTACATTTTGAAAGTCAGTGTCAAGTTTCTTTTTTTGAAGAGTATATATAGCGCTTGTTCCACTCTGAATGTCCTGTCGTAGCACGGGTACATCCGTCCACTGTTTCGGTGTCCTACAGGACGACATGCCACTTTGGGATAACAGCTTCAGTATTGCTTGAAACGACGTTTCACTTCCGTATAATATAACATTATAAGCTGGCGGGCGAAGTAAAGTATCCACTTGGAAATTAGATTTGACCAAACAATTACTACGTTATCGAAAAGTTTCAAGGGTGAAAACAGCCTAAACACTGCAAACTTTAGGTCCCTTTACGCCAAATGGAATCTGTTTCGCGGATAATCATATCTTCTCGACGCAAGGGAGTTAACTGACTATAAAAGTCCAGTTTCCACCCTTGCCCAACTAGGCTGAAATGAGGGAGTTATATTTTGGCTGGACTTACGAGTCGATGCATAGTCCAATCAAAATCGCGGAACGAAATTGACATTCGGTTCATAAACAACATGGCAAATCCAAATAATGTGAGAGGTGGAATCTGATTGGTCAGTAGGAGGGACATAGAAGGGGCACAACCCGTAATCGCCACTAGTGGCGCTACAATCGAGCCCAGAAATTGCAGCATAGTTCGACAAGGGTAGATACTGGGCTTTTACAGCCAGTTAACGCCCTTTCCCCAGGAAGATGGATAATCAAGACTGGTTATTCCCTTTCATTGACGTTCTATATTTACAATTAATAAGTTTTTATCCATAAAGGTGGCATGTCTTTATGTTCTTGTAACTTCTCAGTGCCTATCAAAGACACAATGACCATGCTTATGTGTGGCTTGTGTGTGTAGCGTATTTTTTAAACCTTCATCTCAATGACAGCAGGGGTCTATCAGGGTTAAACAACACCTGATATTAATTGCGTTTTGGGTCTTGCCTTTCTGTTCTCCAGGACACAATCCTCGCTCGTCTGTCCGTCATGTTTCCAAATTAAAAAAAAAAATGCTCAACTTTCTTCTGGCAGTTTGTAAAGGGCACATGGTCATGTTTTTCATGATTTGTTCTTGTTCCCATGGAAACAAGATGGAATACTTATGAATGCATGTAATTTCCAGAGCTTAATGAAGTAATGTTAAAGTATCAGTGAGTGAGTTTTGTCAGTATTCCAGTAATACCTCTGCTGGGAACACTACAAGCATTCAACACAGTGTACCCAGGTGGGGACCTGAACACGGGATTCCTACGTGGCGGGCGAACGCTTTACCCACTAGCCCTCGTCCACAACACCCAAACCCCTGCCCTCCCCGTGTGTAATATGTTGTTGGTGTTGCAGGTGACTATGAAGGCTCCGGCGAAAGTGTGAGACGTCACGGACAAGGTGACATCATGGCGTCCTTCCCCTGTGTGTCTCTTGCACATATCAACGTTACAACATCGTGTATTCTCATGCTGAAAGCAATAAATCTACAGAAAACCACAGCTCTTGGTACTATTCTTCCAAACAGTAACGACATGCTTTTGAAGTATAAGTGTAAGCTTTTACAATATACATAACTGTATTTGCTTAGCAGTGTATAACCCCCAATCAAACGATAACACTGTTTACATAACGAGTCCTAGGTCAGGATGACCCAGGGAGTCTAACGGGGTTTGGCAGGTCAGCGAGGGTCAAGTGTGTACCGCGACGACAGTAAACAGTCTACTACACTTAATGCAGGTATATATCCCAGGTCTATTAATGTGATCTCCCAGCTCCATGTGCCTGCACAGAGAGAGGCTTGCATAGCCTTGCTCCAGCGTTGTACTGAAATATAAATCCATGGATGTGTAGTCATTCTATCCTCCTAATAGGCAAGTCTAGATATGTGGACAGTAATGTGTCTTATTGGGACAACTTGTTCTTATTATTTACATAATCTATAAATTATGATTGAACTAATAATTATTGCCTCAGGGCTTGTGCAAGTCTAAGTCTATCTATCTATCTTACTCACGGTCGATGATCCACCGCTCTGTTGTATCTTGTCCACTGAACGCTGTTCACGTGTTGACCTATGTGTGTTTCTGTGAATCTACTTACATCTACTTGGTGCGCCATTGTTCTAACTTTGTACAAAAGAGACATACGTAGAGCTGAATTTCCGAGTAACTCTCCATGCCTTTAAAATAATAGAGAAGAGGCCGTCTTTGTAGTCTGTATTTATACTGCGTTAGTCTCCCTTGCTTGAGACACCATACCTTCATGTGTCGCCGTAGCAATTACACGTCCTCAAATCAAACGACACGTTTTCCGACAAAATTCAAAATTACGTGTCAAAATATTTGAAAATAGTTCTGTACATTCCAAGTGCAAATTAATTGTAATGTTGATTCAAGATAATGCACAATTGACACACAACTATCCATTCCGGAAAAATAAAGGAGTGTTAAATGTTTTAAATGACGTTAAGACATAAAACGTGGCTAAGAGAATTTTGATGCATTCCTTGGCAGTATGCCAGAAAGGTCACAGCAGAGCACACCAGGAATGTGGTACAGATATTGTTATCATGTGGGGAAACGAACCCGGGTCTTCAGGTTTAAAATTCGAGATAAGAATAGGTCCCCAGCAGCACATGTTTGTCGTGGAGGCGACTTTATGTATTGGATGGCCAGCTCGTTGACTTGGTTGATTGCGTCTCTGCACCTCCGCAATGGGGGACGTTGCTCGTAAAATAAATCACTGGTTTGTCTGGTCGAAGTTTGAATATTTACAGGCCGACATCATACAGCTGGACTTTTGCGAAGTTACACGTGAAGCCTGTTTGCAAACATGATCTTAAACTGAGTGTAGTATTATGTCCCATTGCCTTACTTCCACAAACTGACGATGGCCACCACAGACACGCTTGATACAATGACCCCTAGCTATTTCCTCCTTAAGTAAGTGAAGATAGTTTTACGCCGCTTTCATGTTAGTAAGGTAACGGCATCGAGAAACCAGAGGACATTGTATAGCTGCGATGGAAATCACCCGGCCCCACTTGCACAAAGCGATCTTAGCGCTGAGATGATCGTAACTTTAACACAGGCTTACGATAGTCTCAGCTCTAAGATCGCTAAGTACAAGTAGGCCCTGGTATACGTGCGACGAGGAAAGCTTCAACTGCGAAGCTTCAACTCAGTTTTTCTTGAAGAATCAGTGCGCTCAACAGTCATTGATAAAAATCGCAACCCGACTGAACCCGCAGCCAAAGAGCTGTAGTCATACGCCTGGTGGAAATATGCGAAAAACCAATTTGTAAAGAATGTGATTATATCTGTAATGGCGAGAATATTCATTTATTTCATATTAATGTGTCAGTGTTTGAGGAATGATGACTTAACATGCCTAAAATGTCATAAATATGGTAATGAGGTGCCTATGCATTCAGATGTTCGCGTATTTTCTTTTCATCCTAACACAGTCTCGACAATAATCACGCCATGTTGAACAACACTTTAGTTGAAGCACTATTCTCCTCGTATATGGGAGGTTACTCCAGGTTGTCGATTAGCAGGGTGATCAAAGAACATGTGCCATCGTGGGTTGGTTGTACTGTCTGTCTGCAACACAAGACAAACATTTGTTTGCTGTGTAAGGTCGAGCTAAGACGAGGTTTCTGACACCTATAACACACTATGTTTCAGAACACGTCCAGTTTCCTAAACTTTTTGTAAAACCAGAGGACCAATTCATGTCAGTATTTTTGGGGATAGATTAAAAAAACCCATTCCGGAACCCCACTTAGGACGAATCTGGGTACTGGTTAAGTTGCACGGTTAAGTTGCACGGTTAAGTTGCACGGGTAAGTTGCATAGTTTTGTTGTTTAACGCCGCACACAGCAATATGCCAGCTATATGACGACCGTCTGTAAATAATCGAGTCTGGGCCAGATAATCCAGTAATTGACATCATGAGCGTCGATCCACGCAATAGGGGTACGATAACATGCATCAACCAAGTCAGCAAGCCTGACCACCCGATCCCGTTAGTCGCCTCTTACGACAAGCATAGTCACCTTTTACGGCAAACATGGATTGCTGAAGACCTATTCCACCCCGGATCTGCACGGGTGCCTGTATATGCAATGTTCAGACAAAGAATACATACATTGACTATACAAGCATATCATACACACAGCTGAACACAATGACTACACACGCGTACCGTACACAACTGACCTAAGCCTCAACCCACACTGTCGCCAGTTACGCTGACTCGGATACCCCGAGTTCTCGGCCAGCAGCAGTGGGTGGGAGTGTACTGGGTATTTGATCTGTACACCAGGAGGGAGACACAATCCCACCATTGAATGCTGCACTTTTTCTGATTGACTTGAAAGGCTTCAGACACTTGATATTGGCTTGTGCACCATCCGGTAGCGAGGCCGTGTATTTGATTGCATCGTGATCCTCCTGTTGGGAATGTTGTGAATAATTTATTGCGTTAGCAGTCCAGGGTTTAAAAATGCCATCGCATAGGACATGATGTGGTTGATGAGTTTATAGAGTGTATTAAGTGTGTCTACGAACAATTGTGTGAAACCTGGCTAACTTTATCAAGACAGACATTAACGCCCAAACTGTATATACTCGCATTTATGTCCTCATTCGGCCATTTTAAGGTGTAGCGTTGTTTGTGAAATAAAACGCCTGTATAATGCAGTGGTGCTAGTAGGATTTGTTTACATAATGCAACCAACTTGAGATCAAGAATACATTCTACGAAACACCCACGAAAATAGATTATACATGAAATAAGCAATCAGATATTAGAAGTGATCTGCAGGCGCGACAGATTGGTTTGCATTTATTGAGGACAGAGCCCAGGTCCTGCCCCCACTCACCGACCCCCCACCCTCCCCCGACCCCCACCCGCCTTCCCATTGCTGTAAGTAAAACGCTTGGAAACCGTGGGTAGCTTATGTCTTAACGACTGGAATCGATTATTTACAACCCATTTTTAACCAAGCTGGACTATTGCTGACCGCGCCGTAAAACGACATTCACTCCGGCCAGCATACCTATTGCAAGTAGTTGCTTCCCAACACGTAGCATGCCATGATAGGACAGGGAGCTTGACCGCCACACATAGCCAGCACTTCATAGCAGAATTCATCATGTCACACGTCAACCTTGGTATCAGTATCGCTTAGTTTATGTCTACACGTTCATCCCCACCTCAACATTTCAAGTCTTGGTAGGAAACAAACACATTATCTTCAACTTTTGCCAATCCTTGAATGCATAACCTACCCAGCTGACCAAATAGTTCAACACGTTTCCTTAAACATATTTCAAACGGGCCCCTCGTCGTCCCCTCGTCTGCACAATGACGGTGTAGTCAGTCTCCGTCACGGCTGACACCAGGTGAAGCTTGGCAACGCCTTGTTGTATAAGTAGACGCCCGAGGCCATCAAACATGCAATATGGAGATACAACCGCAGATACGACCCTCGTCATACAAATACATAGAAACTTAAATCAACCCTGGCTTAATTTACTCTAAACAGTCTACGTCCACAATTGAAAAATCTACATTTCAAAAGCACAATAAAACCACATAACTTAGGCAATAAATTGCCCAAAGAATATTAATAATATACTTGCCTAACTCTCAGCCGTATAGAGAAAGCGCCTGAGAAAATATATTTCCCTGTCAAGCGGTATCGTTCTTTGTTCGTGCTATGTAATGATATTCCCGGCATTTGGATTGCTCTCCTGTCATAATAGCATACCTTAAATACTCGCTACGCCTGTGTGCATCTTCAGGGTATAGAAAAAGTCATCCGCATGGAGTTTTCGAGGACCGTTTTATCCTGTACATTGTGATAAATAGGTTTCACATGTTACAAATTCTTTGCTCGCCCTATTCCTAACTTCAAGAATGTGAACCCTTCACTGAAGCACACGGCCCCCTTTTCCTGTCCCTTGGGTGTCGATGTGACAAATTTATTTTGTTGTACCCGGGTAGGTTCTATAGAAGGGTATAATTTGGCTCCTGTGTAGTGGCATCTTTGTGCTTAATGTGTTCCGCTTGACTGACAACACGCAGCTTGTGTGAACATTTACAGAGGATCAGAGTTTATGGTCAAAACATAATCTGGTCATCAACTCAACAACAAGGAAAATTGTTCAATTTTGTGGTGGATGACTTTAAAGGGAATTGAAGTACAGCCCATTTTCGGTTTGTATAGATGTGATGATGGTGAGAATGTTGGTGTGAGGATAACGATGCTATAAGATGACTTTGGGAGCCCACATCGGGGCTACGCATGATTGAACTATGTGTACAAATATGCCTGGAAGAAATAGTGTATCACTTTGTAACGCGGCTTCTAAGAAACTAATTTAGATTTGTAACTATCAATAGAGGCATTTCTTCGGCAGTGTCATAATACGCCAAGAACATTCTTGCATTGGTAGCAATAGGACGAGGCAATGATAGTCACGCGTT